TGTGTGTGTGTGTGTGTGTGTGTGTGTGTGTGTGTGTGTGTGTGTGTTAGTTACAGTTCAAGCATGTTTAATGTTTCAATGACCACAGTTCTTTTGCCCTGTACTTAATTGCACACAGATACTGTGTATGTTAAAGATAAATGAAACTATTGTGTGTCTGGTACAATGCCAAGCTGTTTTGGAGTCACCACAAATTAGTAATTTTTTTTTCTATATTTGTAACCTTCTCTCCTGCAGCCGTTCCTTCCCCCTGTGGCGGTCTCAAGTGTGGACATGGAGCGACTGGAGCGCGTGGAGCGCCAACTAGCCCTGCTCTGGGAGCGAGTCCAGCAGGGTGACCAGAAGCAGGAGCAGCGTCACGGAGACATTTTGGGTCTCTACAGCTCCCTGAAGGAGAAGCTCCACACTCAGACCGACAGGGAGAGCCTGGGATTGTGGGTGTCCTCCCTGCTGGAGCAGAGACTCGTTGTGTTACGGGGAGAGCTGGAGCAGGAGAACACGGCCAGAGCACAGGTAAAGAGATGAAGATAAGTGTTGACTTACAATGGTGACATTTTTATTTAAAGGTTTACATGTATCTCACTCTTTCTCTCTTTATTCCTGCTCCTTGCAGAGTGCAGAGCAGCGGAAACAGCAGCAAGAGGGTCAGGCTACACGGCTGGCAGATTTAGAGTTGCTGCTCAAGACTCTGGCTGCCAAGACTGAGGTACTTTCAGCCGATTCACTAACGAAAATACCTGCAAGATGGCTTATTTAACTTACATGTTTTGATGTTTGTTACTTTACACGCTAAGCACACACTAATTGTTCATTTGTGTCTTTGCAAAACTAAGTAGATAAATAATAACAGCAAGCAGGCACAAGATTGCAATCCATGATAAAGTACAGTATGTAAGAGTAAAAGATAAATATTAAACATTAACAAGGAACATACAAAGTCTAATCATTATCTGACCAAAAACTAGAGATGCACTGATCGCAATTTTTAGTTTAAATTATGTATTATATTAAGCTGCTTAGAGCTAACGTTAGTGTTAGGATGTTAAACGAGTCATAAGCCCTCTCATATCTATTTTATATTGCTGTGAAAACATCTCCTTCAAACTACTGTATTTATTTAAGTTTTTTGCCAAAAACATTTTACACGGTTACATTTGAACACATCATGATAGCGTTGTAATTAACCTTCGCCCAATACTCAGTTTTACCCGGTAGAGCTGGGAGGCAACGTTAGCTGTTCGCTCTATTATAAGCAGGACTGTGCAAGGGAGAGACAGCGACTACTCTGAAGCATGATTCAGCATGAATGAGAATGAATTACAATATAATAAGTGTGTGATTAAGTTGCTTGTTCCAAAAGTGTTTAAGGTTGTTCCTCCACAGCTTATTTGGGACTTGCAGTTGACAAATTGTGAGCTTTATGTCTTCACTCACTGACGCGTAATGTGTGTGTGTAGCTGTGACGTTCCTATCTGTGCTGCTATGTGCCAACTATCGTAAAACTATCATGCGGAGGTACACGTGTCAAAATGTGACCGTCAAAAAATCAGAAGTATGAAACGAATCGGCCAGTCCCCGGTCTTGGTCAATCAGCTGAAAACCGACCGGTTTCCCATCGGCAGCCAATCGATCGGGGCATCTCTACAAAAAACTATTGTAATAGCATGAGATAATGGGAAACATACCACAACAGTGTTAAAAAGACCAAATAATATCCTGACGAGCTCAGACAGGCAAGAACAGATATGAAGGCAGACCTGGTCGTGTTTGTGCCAGGTTTAGGTCTGTATACAAAAGAGCAATGGTGCTGTATCAAATATCTAATGGAAGTGTGTGCCTGGGAAAATGTCAGTTTGTAGTTTCTGTGCTATTTTCAGTAATCCATATACATGACATTTGTTTTAGGAGATGCAACAGAAGAAGCAGCAGCAGCAGCATGAACATGAGAAGCAGGAAAGAGAGAAGGAGATTGTCACTTCAGCAGCAGACACAGTTCACCTCAGGTACAAAAATCAAAGAAATAACTAAACATTCAAATCCTCCTTTTTTATTTTTTTTATTACGTGCTACTCGTATTTTCTGATGTTCTTCAATATTATGACCGCTCACATGTAGATTCTGTCTTTCACTCAGTGTGGGTGTGAAGCAGGAGGACCATGATGCTCTGCTCGTGGAGGTGCAGAGACTTGAGGTGGAGCTGGCCAAAATCCGACAGGACCTGCAGGGTGTTGTGGGATGTAAGGGCAAATGTGAGCAGCTGGACACACTGCAGGAGACGGTAAGTAACACAAATATTGACTCCTGTTTGGGCTTTAATCTGCCGTTGCTGTGATTCAGTTTTCTATATACGTTTATTCTTTTCACAGATATCCGCCCAGGTGTCCTCCCAGGTGACCTCCCAGGTGCGTAAGGAGTTGCAGGCCCTGTTCTTCAGCAGTGGTGAGCAGGGAGCGGTGCCTGAGTCTCTGATCCTCTGGCTGTCCCAGCGCTACGTGACCACACCCGACCTGCAGGCTTCCCTGTCCTCACTTGAGCTGAGCATCCTGAGAAACGTGTCCCTGCAGCTGGAGCTTAACCACGCCCAAACCCTGGGTGAGGCCGGGTTTCAAGCCGAGACCATCGTTAAGACTGTAACGGGAACTGTCCAACACGCCGCTGCTGCTGAGGGACTGACAGAAGAGGTAACGAGCATACACGTCTTCTGTCAACATCATCATCGCTGTGGGGGCTGAGCGCTGTTAAAATGTGTGTTTGAGGCCCTTATTTAATCTTTAACTCTTGTGATGTGTGTCTCTACTCCAGCAAGTGAAGCTGATTGTCCAAAACGCTTTGAGGCTCTACTCCCAGGATCGAACAGGCCTGGTGGACTACGCGCTGGAGTCTGGAGGTAAGAAAGAAGCCTCACATCGATGCCTGTCCACCCGAGTCTTTACCCTATAACGGATCTATGCGTCAGCTAGCTGCACTGTGCTCTAATGTATTTCTCTTGTGTAATGTTTGTACAGGCATTAGTCAGGCTAGAGGACAACAGGGTATTAACAGCAAAAGCTCAGGCTCCATTGTCAGGCGTGTTACTGAGCAGTCTGTTGACCTTCATGAGAGAGTTGCTTCACAGTACGCGTGGGATTTAAGACGACCTGGTAGTCTAGTAGTTCAGACACCCATATAATCACAGCCACCCTGGTTTGTTTTGAGCCGGGGACCGTTATTGCATGTCCTGTCTGTCTCTACTCGCGCTATTAATACAGGCTGAGAGGCCAAACATCTTTTAAAAGATAGTAGGCTTGGCCATTGTAACTGGCATGTGTTAACAGATATGGGCCATGATTCTTTACTTGGTTATAATGCTTTCATTTAGCTGTCACATCATATAAAATAAGGCCACCATGAGCATCTGCACAACTCACTGCCTGTTTGGTGGTGCAGGGTTTCCCCCAGGAAATGAGTAAGTGGAGGGAGTAGCAGCCCATCTGGTGATTATCAAACTAACTTCTGGGGTCTGACCTGAAATGCAGCAGTGAGGTTTTCTTGCACATCAGCACCTGAATGCAGCTGTTTGTCTCTTCTTTTGCCAGCTTGTTTAAACTCATAAGGTTTTGTCTTTTCCCAACATGCTGTTCTGCACAGCTATTGTATTATCTCTTACCCTTTGTGTTGGTTCAGGTGGCAGCATCCTGAGCACTCGCTGCTCTGAGACATACGAGACCAAGACGGCCCTCATGAGTCTGTTCGGCCTGCCGCTCTGGTACTTCTCCCAGTCGCCACGTGTTGTCATCCAGGTGAGCCTCCCCAGGAGATATCCATGAGAGAAATGTCTGTTTTACTGATTATGTAAAGATAGTTAATGGATACGTTTCACTTCCGTCTTAAGAGAATAGTCAGGTGGCCATGTGGACTTTGAAACGGCCTTTTATTGCTGTAATCACTCCTCCTTTCAGCAGGGAAACACAAGGAGTGAATTTTGTTGTTTGGAAGACATTCGCTTGATTTAACAACACAGTCTGCTGAAAATTGTTGGAACACTCACACTGGCTACTATTATGGAACTTAATTTGGCATTTCTCCACTCACTTCCCTTCCCCAGCCCGATGTGTACCCCGGTAACTGCTGGGCATTCAAAGGCTCTCAGGGTTATCTGGTGATCCGGTTGTCCCTGAGGATCCTGCCTACATCCTTCTGTGTGGAGCACATCCCCAAGGCCATGTCCCCGACAGGAAACATCACCAGCGCCCCACGCAACTTCACTGTTTTTGTAAGAAAACATGTGCAACTTCACTGTTTTTGTAAGAAACATACTAAACAACTAGACACAGTTGAGTGCCCATTTTTCACTGTTTGCTTTCGTACAGGGTCTAGATGACGAGTACCAGGACGAAGGGAAGCTGCTGGGGCAGTACATATACGAGGAAGATGGGGAGTCACTGCAAAGCTTTCCTGTTATGGTAACTTAAGACGCACCTCCAAACCTATTAGAAATACAAAGCAGTTCATTGTCTGCCATTGTGTTGTGAATATTCCCCCTTCTTCTCTTTCAGGAGCAGAATGACAGGGCCTTCCAGATCATCGAGGTGCGTGTGCTGTCTAACTGGGGTCATCCAGAATACACCTGCATGTACCGCTTTCGAGTCCATGGAGAACCTCGGCCTCAGTGAACCAACCACTACCATTCTCGCTAATAAATGACATATCACCCTATCTGTACATAGCTCTGGCCAACTTCTTTAAAACGGAGGGGACTCGACGAATGACGCGAAGACAGTGAAGTCGTGGATTGTTAAATGGACATGCGTTTTGTAATATTGGAAGAATCTCAAGGAAGTCTGTGTAGGGACTGTAAATGATCGTGGAAGAGGAATAGAACCACAGAAGACGCTAAAACTCCCAGGCCCCTCTTCATAAAAAGGCCTCTTGCACTGAATCAGCCTGTGAGGGGCGGCACGCTCCACTGAGCGGACAAATCCATCCCCATCTTGGCACCTTCCACTACAGGGAGGTGGACGCTTGAAACGGGGGATTACAGACTCATCTCCACCAGTTCTTCACACGCTCCATCTCTTTGATTTCTGTTTGTAATCATCTGTATTTAACTTTGATTCCCTGTAAGTCGACTATTTTCAGGATCAGAGCCACTGCATCTTTTGCCTGTGGCGCTGTCCCGGCATGTCACTCTCTTTGTTACTGTCGAGTCTCTGCAGTGGATTTATTTGAGCTGTTTGGGCAGCCTGCAGGACTGGACCACACTGGACAGTGGGTGTACAGTGGACACGCAAGGTTCACTGCATTCAAAGGCTCGGCGTCATGCATCCGCATAGCCATAACCTTTGGAAGAGAACATGCTGCCTATGGACACACTGAATGTTTCCTCGAGTGGAGGCTTGATGCAAATCATCCTTTAACTTCACAGCAACACTGTACTCATCTGACCTGAGCTCTGTGTATTAGGAGGCTCTTCACTATGTACATTAGACAAAGTATGTGTATGGTTATGGATGGACTCCAGGATTAATTCTAGCATGTGATTCTTCCCAAACCATACTACTTAACTTTTACATGCATCGTGGATTTACATGAGCGAATGTCCTCTTTGAAGTTTTGGCTCCTGTGCCTGGATCTCAAGTTACTAATGACTGACGTTGAAGGCTAAATAATATAACTACTCCTATAGACAAGAGTGTGACTTTTCTTTTCAGTTTTTCTAAAGAGGGGACTCTGTCTGTCTCCTTGCACAGTTATAAATGTCCTGCTCACATGGACTCCCTCTATTCTGAAACCCTGAAGGAATGTAATTTGTATATTTCGTTGTTGATAGTTGGTCCTTTTATTATATCTGCTTTTATCAGTGTTGCTTTATAAAGAAAATCATCCTGTCATTATCATAATTATTATTATTGCATTACTACCATTATTTCTACTGTTACTCATTGTGGGGTTTTGCTTTTTTTGGTATGTTTTTGGGGGTTGTTGATGTCAGAGGATGAACTGCAACAGCTTGTTAGAGAAATGGTTTTGGCACAGGTCTTCACAAATTTGTTTTTAAAAATGGCGGGTGAGTGTAGTGATTGATTTTGGTTGCATATATGGGGAAGTCTAAAGTTGTATGTATAAAAAATGTTTTATTCACAATCTTATTTATTAACAAGTCAAATAGTAAATTCAAGAATTGAGTTGCTGCAATGTATATTTTGTCAAAAGCTGTTCAGTGCATTTTGGAACCATCTTGGGACTTTTTTTTTTTAAGATAAATGGCTATTTTTGTTCAGTCATGAGAAGACTTAACTGCTTTGGAGTATATTCCAATAAAGACTTTAATTTTGAAGAACTTGTCATAATATAATCATGGCTAAAGGTTTAGATTGTGATGCTGTCTTCAGCAAAAGCTTTATGTTTTGCCCATTTATTATCATAGAGAAAATACTTATTACTATACAACAATATTTTTGATCAATATTTCAATTTTGGTTCATCCATTATTTAGAGCCAACAGTAATAGATCATCATGTAGGACAGAAACTTTTCCTTGAAGGAGAGCAACACATCAGGAACATCTTAACTAAAATACAAGATGATGAGCGGAATGAAACCAAAAAAACTTAAAATAACAATTAATTGTTCTTCTGAAAACGCACCATTAGGTGCAATGATAGCCAGATATCCCTGTAAATTAAGTACATGACATCTTGGGTATTTAAAATGAATGTGTAAACTATCAATGTATGGCGTTATTAGGGTAGAAAGGGGCTTTTACATGCATAAACGCCTACAAGAGGGTTCATTAATAGAGTTTACTTAAATATTTACAGCAGTCTTAAAAACAAAAATACCATTCGGAGTAAACCAAATAGAAACGCTGACATGCAATGATATATGATAAAGCATAATGCCTCAAATGTTTTTTATAGAGAGGCAAATACGATCACACTATGGATCTTCAGTCATGAAGGCTTTTGATAATTTATTTTAAGTCCTCTGCTCCCCTCTAGCGGAGAATAGTGGAACAACCGAATCAAAGAGGTGCCGTTTGTTTTGCATGAATTGCACCGTTCAGGTAGGCTACGTTTTAGTCCCTATCATATAAACTAGTAACGTTATCACGATGTGTTGCACTGTGATGATAAAAAGTGTTAATACCCCGTAAGTATTGAAGCTGTAGTTAACGGTACAGACGGAAGTCGGACTCTGTATTTATATATATTTTCGGTGAGCCATCGTGTTGTATTTGAGAAACTGTTGAGTCATTGATTAGGACATTCTTTTGTTTTAAACAACCTTCAGCATTTGTTTTATTGTCCCTTATTATGTCTCCTTCTGCTCCTGTAGTCCATGCTTGTGTTTACACCGGAAGTCAAAGGCATGACTACTGCCTTGACAACCGAACGTGTCCCTGGCAACCACAGGAGCGACCGTCAAAATAATGGCGAAGTTAATCGGTGACATAAAATCCCTTTGGCAGCAAGAGTGTGAAGGTAAGGTGATATTATTCTATTGGCTATTAACCCTTTTTGTGATGTGTAAACTAAAAGCATTTTCTGGATGATGTGTTGTTGGAGAGTATGAAGCGGAGCAGCGCAGTGCTGTGTGGACTGATAGCTCAATGAGCACCCAGCTCTCCCAGTACAGCACCAGTACACACTCTGCTTTGTCCTATGGACTCAGCACAGCCACGGTCAGCTCATTCATCCCTCTGTCTGATTACTCTCCTGTCACTCGGGCATGTCCTGATGCTGTCATTGTCGTTTCATTATTAGATGTTTGTGGACGATGGTCCTGTGAGAGACGTTGACCCGCTTCTTTGCCACCCTGGCTCCTCTGAACTCTGTTCAAGCCAGAAGCGCCCGTCAGCTGCTGGAACTACATCGCCTCCACAACTACATGAACGTGAGATGATGATTTAAGTTGGTCCTGCAGAGTGTAACTGCCATCCTGGGGCATACATATTGTGTAAAGTTTTTGTTTGTGTGTGTGTGTGTGTCAGGTCCTGTTGCACGGTTTTTGGAGAGGAGAGTGTTTCCAGTGTTGTTGCCTGGACTTGAGGCTTTGCTGAAAGAAGCCCAGAAACATGGCTGTTACGAGGTCTGAATTTCTCCTGATAATATAACAAATAAAGTTCCAGGTGGCCCATGTTGTTAAAATGACCTCACCTGAAATCAAAGCAATTCATGTGATGTCTGATTGATCATTAACTCAAGTAGAGTTTTTAGGTACTTGTACTTTACGAATGGCATTTCCATTTTCTACTCCTTCATAACATAAACTATCCTCAACAAATCAGTTGGAAAAATTGCAATTTTTGCTTCAAATTTATTTCCCAGCTGTAGTTATTAGTTACTTTGCTAATTGAAAATGTACATACAAGTAATATAATATGCAATGCATTGATATATATTAAATTAGAAGTATATGAAGTCATTTAAATTCACTTCACCTTCACCAACTTTGGCAGTAAAATACTTACACATTACTGCATCATTAATAGTAATTTTTTACTCCTGTGATGTGTAAAAGTAACGCTGAATACTACTTCTGCGTGATGGCATTACTTTCTTTTGTGTTGCAGAGGCTAAAAACAGCCTTTAACCCGTGTGACTTCCTGACTGAGTGGCTATACAAGTAAAAGCCCCCCCCACACACACACACAGCTCTCTCTCCGTCTCTTCACCGTATAATGTGCACCTTACCCCATTTATTCCCTATAATGTTATATTCTTAATGCTGTGTGCATTTGTTCTCTCCCGCTCACCTTTTTCCTCAGCCAAAACCCCCGCAGACGAGAACAGGTCCCAGTGAACTTCCATGACATCCCTTTTGTCAAAGACTTTCTCAGCATGCAGTGAGTGTCTCCCCAACGCTACAGCTGTTACCAGCAAATTCATTGTTTGTCAACAAATGACACAAATCTGTCTTTCGCCGTTTGGAGTTCCATTGTCACCGGGTTGCTGTGTCTCAAGTTTGAAACAAACATTGATTTAATGGAAAAAAAACCTGCAAAAACTAAGTTTAAGTTAAGACGACACACAAACATGCTCTTTCACAGATGCATGCTGAAACTCTCTCTCTCTCTCTCTCTCTCTCTCTCTCTGTCTTCAGCCCCAGGTCTCCCATCCCTCTGTATCTACTGCTGAGTGAGGATCAGGCTGCTCTGCTCATCCAGGCCTTCTGGAGGGGATATAAGGTACACTGGATATAGCAAGAAGCAAATCGGTCTTTGCAGACTTTCCTTCCAAATGTATTTTAAAGGACTGGGATGAGGAATGCAGACATACAGAGGTAAAATAAAAATTGTTAGATTGGCCCAACACAGGTCTTAAACGCCTTGAAAAATAAAGAAAATAAACACATAAACTAAGAATATCGGGGACATTTCAAATTAAATTAAAAGCCTGGGAGAAAAGCCTTTCACTTGACATATTTACACATTAATCTAGCTATGCTTGGCTGGGCTCGTCAGGCTGACCAACTCTAATTACCACCTCCCAAACTTTCTAGATTGATTTAAGAAGTCAGAGTGGAAAAAAGTAAAGCTTGAAAGAACCCTGCAATTACCCCACACACCACAGTCAGCCTGCCTGTGTGTGTGTGTGTGTGTGTGTGTGTGTGTGTGTGTGTGTGTGTGTGGCCCACAGAGCGATATTGTTGTATAATCCCATCTCGCTGAAAAGCTCCTCTTCCACAGGGACTGCAGTTTCATTCAGCAGCTTGATTATGTCATCAATGATGCCGGGATTTAAATCCTTCCTGTGTGGGTGTTGTGGTCTGAAGTACTCTGTGCTGTGATATAAATAGACATAAACAGACACTACCAGAGGCAAACAAGCAAGCAATTTCTCCACACAAATAAACCTAGTCTTGTATGCTGTAGGGATGTAAGGAGGGGGTCTTGTTTTTGTTTCTCTCAACAGAAGCGCTTATTTTATTTAAACCATTGAGAGGAAAAGATGCCAGCTGTGCTGTCATGTGCAGTTACATTCTGTTTGAACAATCTGAACATGTAGCTGAATTTGTGTGTGTGTGTGTGTGTGCATGAAAAGGTGTGTGTGCGTACGTGCCTGCAGCATGTATCCCAGTTCGGGCTACTTATGCACCAGCAGGGGGCACCACTTCCTCTTTCCTATTTCTGTAGCAACAAAACATTGTACCAGTCTCTGCTCACATAAGGTGGCAGCATTGAGCCGGCTGCCTGTCACTCCTCACTTTGTTTACCCTGAACGAAGAGAGGTTCAGTGAGGCCGCTGATAGAGCTGCAGCCCAGCACCCCAAGGGATTCAGAGGAGGAGAGACGCAGCCAGAAAGGGACAGTAGTGAGGGAATTGGTTGATATATCTGGAAGGATGACGCTCAGGCTATGTTAGGAACATTTTTCAGATGGATGGATGGATGGATGGATGATAAAAGGGAGGAGAGAGACAAGATGATGTTGCAGTGTGGCTTTGGATTAGGAATGGAGCATGGTGGAGGCAGGAAATGGATCTTTGGCAACATCTGTACCGGCTATAGGAATAGGGAGAGAGATGAAACCTCTGAGAAGCACAGGGGAGCCTGTAGACGCAGCACAGTCAGGTTCTGAAGTTGAGGGTTTGCGTCCTAAGATCATGACTTATTCAAGGTACACAGGGCGGAGATATTTTGGGTAGGCACTGAGGCAAAGTCCTGACAGGTGTTGTATTTTGTCACGGCGGCTGTTACCTTGGCTCGAGAAGAGCAGCCGTTAACAGCTCAGTGGGCAGCAGAGCAGAGAAGGGGAGTCATCTGTGAAGCACTGATGCACTGTAAAACTTCATTAGTTTCTGTGTGTGTGTGTGTGTGTGTGTCTGTGTGTGTGTGTGTGTGTGTCTTCTGGCGTGAGAATGTATACTGTAGGTGTTTTAAATAGCATGTTATCATTCAATATTATTACATACATACATACAATATCTTTTAATGTCTCCCATTCTAAATGTATTCTGACAAAACTCTCATATCAAGATATCATGGTTGACAGAATAAATATCAAAGTGAAGAATATCAGGCTATATTTCACCATAATCTGTCCTAATTTGAAAATGCTTGAGAATATTTTTGAGGGTTTATAATGGGATTATGGGATTTTGCTTTAGAAAAACACCCCAAAAAATGGTGTGGTTTTTAAATACCTCACTAAATATTGTAACATGTAGATATCTAATGCTTTGATATTAACAAACTTTATCCAAATCACACACCTCTGCTTTCATCAATGAACTCTGTGCTCTTCACCCCCTGTCCACAGACCCTCTCTTTCCCCCTCACGCTCTGCAGTTATATAACCTGCCTGACGCAGCGCTGACTGCAGAGGGCTGTGTGTGTGTGTGTGTGTGTGTATTCGTGTGAGTGTGTGTTTGTAAGAAAGAAAGGAAGACAGACAGACAGACTGAGGGCCGGGGAGCAGGGTATTTTTGTAGCTCGGAATTTTATCCCTGCATTATTAATCTCTTTCATCGAAACAAATTGCGGAGTGAAGAAGAGCAGCGGTAGAGATGGTACACACACTAACTCACATCTATGACCCAGACAATGCGATTGTCTCCTGTTTCTCTAATGTACAACTATGAAGAGCTGCTGGGTCTAATCATATTACATAATGTTCTTTATACTGTGCTTACACTAATCCATTCAGCTTGCTACAGTAATGCACACATATGTACATGCACGCACACTGCACAGACACACACTGATCACTCAGACTTCTCAGCCTCTCGCAGGTCTGGTCAGCTGAGTTGGAGTAATGTGGCTGTTGTGTAATAAATAGGCATTTAGGCTGTCAGCATTAAGGGTTTGTGGTCAGGTAGAGAAGCAGGCTTTTATCATAATGATCACTTCCATCGATCTATTAAGCGTGCACACACTGAGGTTGGCCTTTTCCTGGCTTAAAGTACAGCTCTGTCCTGTGAAGCATAGCCTAATGCAGGTCAGACAAGATGTTTGTTTCCTTGTTCAGGTCCATGATCCATTGTCAGATTTGATTCTATGGTGTTTTTGTTTGTTTTGTTTTTTAGAAAACTTAAAGGAATAATTCAACATTTTCAGAAATACGGTTGTTCACCTTCTGACAGAGAGTTAGATGAGAAAATCAAGACCACTCTTTGTGTCCAGTAATTACAAAGCTACAACTAACACTTAGCATAAAGACTGTAAACAGAGGGAAACAGCTAGCTGGGTTCTGCACAAAAAACTAAATGTAAAAATGACAATTTTCTAACCATACAGACATAGGGAGTGGTGTCAATTTTCTCATCCAACTCTCAATGGAAAAGTGAATAAGCCTATTTCCCAAAATACAAGAAACCCTGATGTAGATTTTCTCAACTGATGTGGATGCTTTGTTTCTGAGAGTTACGATGCACACAGAATATGAACTATTATTATTTGATAAGTCAATTTGAATCACATTTTGTTACAGTCCATACATGTCTAAAGAAAGTCATGTTGGGCTGCTAGCAGGCCCAGTTGTTGTCTAAAAGTAGGACACCGTGAGCACTGAATATATTCCACATGACATAAACTAATAGAGCTGTTTGAAAGACTCTCTCACACACACACACACACACACGCACACACACTCACACCCAGAGAGCTGTAGAGTCAACAGCAGAACTAGGTCTGCAATTCCAGATGAATGATCCGAGGGCAGTGATAGATGAATGGTTTGAATTAAGCTCCAGTATTTAGTCAGTGACGAGCCACGTGTAGTGACACTCATGCAGAAAATACGTCACAGGCACTCAGGACGGGCGGTCCAGTGGCTCTGCTTTGTCCTCACTTCTCCCTTCCTGCAGTGTTCTCATGAAGGACAGTAGGGTCACAGTTCAACTCATTTCTGTGCATTAGTCTACAAATGCACAAATCAAATCACAGGTTGCTCAGCTGGTTAAACCTTGATGGAAGCATTGGCCAACAAAAACATGATGGATCGGTGGGTGGATGGGGGTTCGTGGAGTAGATGGAGCAGGCTGTGGTGGCTGTCTTTATGCAGCCTGTCAGTGCGCTTGAGGATGTGACTGCAGCCAGTTTTGAATGACAGAAGCCATTGTGCAGAGTGTGAGACTGCGAGAGGAGCTCGGTCTCACAGGCAGCTTTGCACAAAAAGGGAAGGCAGCTTGAAAGGCTGTGCAGCGAGATTGAAGTGTGTGTGAGAAAGAGGGCATTTTTGTGGATACGTGGTGAGCGAGGGGGGGGGGTTCTGCTTGTGCTGCTGCCTTAGGGAGACAGAAGTCAGTCTTTTTTTGTGCTTTTGAGTTATTTTCAATATGTGTGTGTGTGTTATTGTGGTTGTGCTTTTGCATGTCAAGTAATGCATGTGATTCCATGTAGCCTGCAATGTTTTTACATTTTTTTTCTAGCCACTCTAATCCCAACCTTCGTTCATACACCCAGCATGAGGCACGTGTGCTGTGACATGGACGATCATAGCAACACGAAACTGTATTATTATTATTAATGATTCAAATCAGGAACAATAGATTTTTAAAAAAAGACAGATTTTGGTGTTGTAAATCATATGTATATGCGCTCACAACACCTATAGAGATACACACACACACACACACACACACACAGTCAAAACAATACCTCACCCCTGCTAATCAGCTGTACTGATGCACACAGACAGGCTTCAAAACGCTCACCCACTCAACTCAGCTCTTTGTCTCCCGCTATCGCACACAAACTGGCAGCGGCTAGTAGAAAGCATTTATATTCAAAAAGTCAGCTTTCCAAGAACTGAGACTTTGATTTTGTCTTTGTGTGGCACATTGTAAAGCTTTGTCTCAGGGGTCACCCGGCCGAGAAATATTTCCGTTGTTTAGCAGTAGGCTACAGAAGAAGAACTGTAATGTTGTAACGTTTCTGCAGGACACCAATGGAAAGTGACAGAGTAGAAATGGCCACACACACACACAAATAAACACACAAGCGATGGTGAGCAGACACGACAGACTCCAACCCCCCCATCCCTCCTGACCCTCACCCCTCATTTCCATTTCTATGGTTTGCTCCCATCAGCAGAGAGGCTGTTGCAGAACTGTGACACCCAGTGAATTAACTATTGGAGCACGCTAGTCTTACCCATTCCTCAAACCATCGCCAGGCTTATATAACAGACCCACTTTCATACGCACTGCTAATAGCAACACTATTGTCGCCTTTCAAGCAGACGAACGGAGAGGGAGGCGTAAGAGGAAAACAAGATTGGAGCGGTGGGAGAGAATACAGAGGAGAGAGATGAATCATTGCTGAGCTGGAGAATGAGGGGAGAATAAGACGTTGGTATGAGAGATATTTTCAGAAGTCGAGTGAGGGGGAGAGGCATACCTTAGTACTGAAGGAGAAGACAGGGAAGACGAGGAGGAGGAAAAGGAAGGAGAAGGAGGCCGAGTAGTAGTAGTAATAGTAGGTAGAGGAAGAGGAGGGGGTGATAATACAGGAGAGTGAGCTCTTCAGGGACATTTTCTATTCATCAAAAACAGAAAGTCTGTTTAGTAATCTCTCAGGAAAGCCAGCAGCGCACACACAACTACAGGGGTTACCTCCAGGAACAAAAGCATAACTCATGCTAACTACAGGCTGGATGGAGAGAAGAATCAATCAATCTTTGTAATTCAGAATCAATCTTTTTGACATGAATGTTCAGCACAATTTGACCCATTTACCCACCTACGTGGACACAAAGACACTCAGCTATACATCTTAAGAAGCTTCATTACTAACAGAAGCTTTTACTCTGCAGGGACCTTTGAGTCATTGTTCCCACAATACAGCTACTATATTTATAGAGTGCCATATCATTAATTTAAGCTTTTACATAACACATACTGAGACACATGCATGGGTTCTTAACTATGTTGTTCAGCGGTGTAGCATCAAAGTTAAAGCTGCAATTCACAACTTACCACATGTCAAAATTATAGAAAATAATCATAAAAATAAAGCTTATTTATACACATAGAGCACCTTTGAAAACAATGTTACAGGATGTGTTACATGGAAAAATCCAGATTGCAACATCTCGGTGCTATACGGTTAAATAATATCAAGGAAATTAAAGTAAGGCAAATAAAATAGACTAAATATAATGGAATGAAAAGAGTGAAATATACAAATAAAGATGCTACTGGTTCTTTAAGCCTCAGATCTTTAGAAGGTCCAAAGCTGAGGGCCCTGACTGAGAAGATGATGGAGCATCTAATGGCATGTTTATTAATATGTTTCACCCTCTTGTAGTAAGCACACAATATATAATATATTATTTACAGAGGTAATGAAGGTAGAGCATAAGCATTGTCATTTAGACAGATGTGATCTAACAATAGCAGAGTATCACGTATGGAGGTTGTGGTGTCTCCAAATACAGCAAATGAGCCACTTCCACTGTTTAACCACCACACAAGTAAACAGAATGATATATTAACTAAAAGACGACACTCTAAATGGACATCACTGATGGCTTGCTAGCACTGATTTTCTTGCAACTTAATTACGCTATTGATGATGTTTGCTTGTGAATATGAATTTATGCATGCGCTGCGTTCATGTGCTACGTTCATGTGCTGTGTGTGTTATAGATCAGGGCACGCCCAGATGTGCAGGAGCTGCGCCAGTGGCAGAAAGAACTGAGAGAGAACAGCGACATTGGTAAAACTGTTGAGCAGTTCTGGGCCCAACAAGAGAGCCGAGGTGAGAGCAAATACACACAGGCACACACTCCAATCAGTGACTGCCAGGCCTCAGGCTCACTGGCAACACAATACCATTGATTTTGAATTTTCTCATGTGGCCGACAACAGCTGCTGATAGGCAGGCAGGATACCGACACACGTTAGCATTCACACAAACAGGCTACAGTGCATGAATATCAACCCGTACAGCACCATGCACACCAATATACACATATACCAGCCGCCGCACAGTACAGTCTCACTCACACGCATATAAACTGCAGAGATACAGTATTCATCCCAGCAAGGCTTTGAAGTTAAAGCAGGGAGATGAGTAGAGCAGTGACACAGAGAGAGAATGAGGCCAGAGACAGAGATGGAGAAAGAGACGGGGAGAGTGAGTCGGAGAAAGAGAGAGAAGATTGAAAGTGAAGGAGAGAAAGAAAATGTCCGCAGGGCTCAGGGTGTGTTTGATTGACAGAGAGAGGAAGGAGACTGGGGATACACGAGAGACGAGATACAGTGCAAAGAGGAGGGACATGATGACAGAGAGACGTATAAAGTGAAAAAGTGTCTCTATACCTGAATGTGTTTGTGCGTGTGTACTATGTGCAGAGCAGCTGAGAATGCAGGCCCATGCCCAGTGTGACTGCCTGGCATTAGAGCTCAATGACAGGGACACACACACACTCAGTGATACACTGTACAAGTGGTTCCTGATCAGCGGGTATTATTCGAGGGGTTATAGCGTACATGAAAAGAGTGTGGCGAAAAGCAAATTTGTTAAGAAAAAGAAATGGCTCAAGGGCAATGTCGGTTCGTCAGTCCACCACTTTGGATGGATTGTGATGAAATGTTTTTTCTTCTGGCTCCACCATCAAGATTGATTTATGATAAAAATACCTGCAAAACCGACATTCCCATCAACTTCAGCTGTATTTGGTTCTGAGTAGCAAATATTAGCATGCTAACATGCTAAACTAATATGATGAACATCGTCATCATAAAACATGAGAATCTTTGCATCGTCATTGGGATCATGCTAGCATTCAAGCCTCAGCATTTAGCACAAAGTGCAGCCTCACAGAGCAGTTAGCCTGACGGTAGGCTCTAAGTCCCGTTTAGTTTATTTATTATCACAATAGCTAGTAACCCTCCAGCTACAACAGGCCAACTGCACAGGAGTATATTGAGTGCATGAAAAGTAGATAGGAAGTGGACTTCTCTTGTCGAGAACGACACTATGAGAGCGGTGAGAGTGAACCAAAACAGCTGAAATACTCTGAGAGGAAAAGCAGAGTCGGGACGCAATTCTCAAAGAGTTTGCCACTACGAGCGACTCTGTCCACATTCAAGTAGTCACGTGATCCAGAATATTGATGAATATTGACTATAGCCGCTTTAAATGAATGTGCATATATGTGATGACTAACACACGCACACTCCAACTTGCACACTAAAGCTGGGTGTCGTATTATCTCTGTTTTTGTCGCCCACAAACAATGACTGCACCATAAACACAGGTTTCTTCCACACCGACACATTCCACACAACAAAGGCGCTCGCTGCAGCGGATCGACAAACATTCTTCAACTGGGGTGCCACAGCCTGGCTGGCTGGTATGCTGCTGCTAACTGCTGCCATGCTGCTGCACCACAACTGCTGACCTGACATTTAAGCAGGGGGCCTGGGGATGTGTGTGTGTGTGTGTGTGTGTGTTTGTAAGAGAGCGTGTGAGTGTAGAGTCTGCCCAGACTGTCCTGAATGGAAGCCATTTTCTGACCTCTTCAACAGAATCTGAAATGGCCGAGTCGGAGATAGAACCAGATATGTGTGAGATAGAGGCAGAAGGGGAGGGGAAGAGATTGGTGCTGAAGTTGCAGTTTGTTTGCTGGTTTTGCCTTTTGTTGTTTTGGATGTAATGAAGCAAGCACTGCCCCCTCCAGCACTGACAGATAAGTGACCCGTATTTGGGAGGCTGTGGTAGAGAGAGGGTGAGTGACGAAGAGAAATTATTTAATTAAGCCCTCTCCCCACTGTCTACACTTTAAGTCGATCCAGCAGCAGCTGCACTCGTCTCATTTGACTCGAGGAGACCAGCATGCGATACCTCTTCTGCCATTTCACGTTTCACAGCCTGAAATCTGAATTAGTCGGAGACGGAGAGGAAAACAAAAGGGGAAAGAGCAAAGTAGCTCAGAGAGAAGACACGCGATGATACTTCAAGGTCAAGAGGTCACGGTTCATTGGGCAGGTGCAGCTCTCAACAGCTCGTGAATCACCACGTCTGTCCTTGACTGTAGCCTGACGTGTACCATCGGTCCAAGCACTGTTAAAACAGAGTAGCTATCTAGCCTGGGAAAGCACAGTGTCTCCTAATGGTGATAATAGTAACCACTCAAAATGTCAATTCATGTTGTTGTGAATAGTTTGGCATGAAATCAAACGATTATATAAATGTGTCATTTGCAGTGCATTGTAACCGAGTCTGTCACAAATTACATTCTGCATTTCTATTACCTTCCTCATTTATTAAGAAGACCTTCAAACACCGATGTTTATAAATTGCACATTATTGAAAGTAGGATTCATGGTGTCTTTAGAAGATAAAAAGGGTACTAAATAGCTGCATCGATGCAGATGTTGATGCTACAGATTGTATTGATGCACCCCAAAGAGTTTTCAAAACCACAATTACAGCCATTACCTTGTAAATCAAGCAAAACAACTTTCACTAGCATCATTTACAATCTGTCTGTGGCTCTTGTTGTGGCATAAATGGCGAAATATAGCAGTCTATTCATCATAGATATAGTTTTTTATGAATTAATTGAGAATAGCAATGTTAAGTGATGAACATTCGTCACAGTCTTCGTGCAACCACAACGAACCTGTTCATATTAAGGATACAGTTCTTGTTTGTCTCCAGTGGGCTCTGCCATGACAGATCTTCCAGGAAGCCCCCAGCCTGGCGAGTCAGATGTATCCATCCAGGTGATGTCCCCAACCCCCCAGAGCACCGTGGTCCACACCCCCACCCCTCAGATGTCCCCTGAGGGTGTTGAGTGGCTGACCCCCAGCGTTTGCAGCGTGGAGAAAATGGCCTCCACACCATCCCTGACCAATTTCCTGGCTGTATCCGTGCATGGTGACAAATCCCTGACAGCAGCGTCTCCTCCTTTACTAGGAACTCATAACCTGAGCTAGGCTGGTGGTACTGTGAACTGAAATCATTAGCTCATTCCCGTGAACAAATTGTTTTCTGTTTTTTAGAGGCTGTTAAACTCTATGAGGTTGACGTGAAACTCACCAAAATGCTCAGTCAAACAAGCCATAAAAACCGCCTGTAACCAATATGATATGGCCAGGCAGGGATTTATGGTCTGAGATTCGTGTCTAATTAGTTGATTGCTTTCATTGCTTTTTTGATGGATCACTTCCCTACACGAGTCTCCCGACAAATGAACACCATATAGTTACTATATGGTGTTCATTTGTCGGGAGACTCGTTATGTGAACCCTACTATAAGTAGGGTTCACATATTATTACTGTCGTGGTGAAGCCTCCCTTAACAGACTTAATATTTCCTCGCACCACCTCTAGCTGATAGCTCACTCGAAGGTAATCAAATCGTATTTCCTTACTTTGTCATTTCCTTTCTCCTGAGCAATACATATCACTCAACAAAAGAGTTTATAGCATTTTTATTCAAGGCAGCAATTAACGCCAAAGTGAAAAGTGAGTCAGCGTGCAGAGCAGCACTTTCTATCCTGTTTATCAGGAAAGGAAATGATCCTGCCAGGGAAACAGGGAATAAAAAAAGTCTTTAAAAACATCGCTGAGATCACTGGTGGGTGATTGACAGCTACCCGACAGAGCAGCAAGGAGTAATATCCTACATTCTCCTTAGAGCTTACTGTTTTACAAGTGATAATAACCCTGTAGTACTCATTGAGCACATGACATAAAATACTAACATCACAATGAAAAGAAACGTTTTCACTATTGTACAAATGTGACACTGTATGATGGTGTCCGTCGGTCTGTCTGTTAATTTCTATATTTTGTACATGCTGTATGATATTCAGGGTTGGAATATTTTTATTTTTGGTCTTTTGCTAGATGTAACTAAAGGCCCCTTTGCCCCTGATGACTCCATCAGCTTCAGCTTCAGCCTTTTGTTTTGTTCCTGGTAGTGTTCAAATGTCTTAAATGTCAAGAAACAATCATGGAAAGTTAATAAAATGTGATTAGCAAAAATGTTCAGGATAAAAGGACTCCATGCTGCTCAACTACAGTTCTTTACTCTGCTTCATGCCAACTCAAAAGACTGTGCAAGTTATAACGTCTTCTCTTGACTGTGTGTCAATTAAAGTGAGTGAATAGAGTGCACCCCTGGCTTATTTCCATCACGTACCTGAGAGGATACTTCTGGTTTCCTCTCCAGTGTCTCTGCAGAAGCAGCGAGGCGGCAGTCTTGTGATGGACCGCTTTCTTGACTACCCCAGTCACTGATGCACACCGCCTCACAGTGAGGCATGAGGAGGGTCATGTATCTCTCTTTGCAGGTATGTGGATGCCTGGGAGACAGCTGCCACTGGGCGAGGTTGATAAAACAGCCCATTTAATTCTGGGGACATCTGATAGTGCAGCCAGCTCCACGGAGTCTGGCAGCACTGGGCCCGACTGAAACCAAATCACACAGCAGCAGAGGGGAGCGGGCACCAGGCTGTCAGAGTAAAAGCTAGTAAACAACTGGTGCTGGGCTGCAATGGAAGTGTAGAATACAAGAGTGTAATCCTGTGTGGGCTAGGAATACACTGATTATAAGTTACATTAACACCACGTTCTTAAATACAAACAGTATGCCACAAATATTGTTCAAACCCCTAAAACATGTAGGAAGTTATAGGCCTAAATGAATGACTATGTTTTCAAGTTTATTCAAATGGAACAAGCCCCATTTAATAATACATATCTTGATTTTAAACAACAAAATTAACAGTATCCGTAAAAAAATGTATAAATTGTGCGTTTCTATCTAAAAAAAAAAAAAAGAAAGGTATACGTATATGGGACGATATGGCATATCTCTAACTTTGGGCTCTAATTTTGACACTTAAGAATAATCGGGTATGTCACGGCATCATTACCTGTGAAAAAACACCACATCCAATTCGGAGTTAACTACAAACATGACACTTTATTGTACTTATTTTTTCCTGATTCAGTTACAGAAACATGAGTTACCTGTTTTGTTTGTTGTTTTTTCTAATCAGGGGAATCAAGTTCTATACATAGGCATGCTGCGTCACTGCACAGTCACAGCTGTGAAAACCAATATCACCCCTGTCAGCTGCCCCGCTGGAACAGTCTGAAGGCAAGACAAATCAGGAGAGGACAGGCAAGGACATGTCAAACCCAGGGAGGATGGGTGTTCAGTGGGCTGCCCAGGGATGACAAACTTAACGTATAGAAGTTTTGTGCAAATTTCACCACAGTCTATTTGATTTTAAACACAGAGACAATATCAGTCCGAAGATTCTCCTTTTTTTTTTTCCCTCGAGTCTTCAAACTAACAGAGGAAGTTATTATTAGGTCCAGTGATGATGGCATTTTGTTCCTTTTTGGGGAATCATACTATTTTGGACCATTTTCCCCTGACTTTAATCTCTTTGCTTCTCAAGAGCCAGCTCTCTTTTTGTGTTTAGGAAAGCACAAGACATTAAGTGTGTCATCTGATATACACTGAAATTATGATTGCTGTCACATGACCTTTACATAAATAGTTAGTATTCAAAAGTACATCTGAGAAAGGTCTTACATGTAGAAATGGTGATAAGCATGCACAGATAGGTAGTCGACGAGTGCAAAATCTACAAAGTCACATGTTTTTTTGTACTCCACATTGAGTGAAAAACATCGCAAGAACAGAAACCTCCCTCCTCCGCTCTGAGTGTTGAAAGTTTTGTCTCGTTAATGCTGACCATCCAAAACCCTGAGGACCGTTCTTCTTCATGACGCACGGCTCTGGGGAGCGTAGCCTGTTTCTGACCACAGAGCCTGACGCTCTCGCAGGACACACTGTCTTTGGGCATCGAGATGGCCTGCTGAAACCAGTCCTATTTTAGAATAGCCGGTGGGCAAGACATGAATGTACAGCAGCAGTCAAGGGTTGACCCTTTGGCTTTTCTTAGTTGAGGGTTGATGTAAGATCAGGGGTCATCAAAACGACTGTTGGTGGGGGCGTGACGTTTTTTCAGCCCTGCCTGCTATAATTTCTTTTAAAATAACTATCCCTTAAGTATCAAAGAATAAGTAATTGTTTACTGCATTAAATTATTCACAGCCAGTATAATTTTTCTGAAAAAATAAAAAAATAGGTGGTTTATGTCCCCGTAACTGTTGCAGCAAAGAGACAACCGGAGGTACAACCGAAGTAGATCCCTGTGAATGACAACCCATAACTTCCTTGAACATTAATCCAAAAAAAAGAAGCATATCTAGTGTTGGCAAAACATTTCCAAGAATGCTAGTTTGAAAACTAAAAGACACCAGCAAGAGAGAAATAAAAGTATATTGTCACAACAAGCAAATGTATGAACAACAAAGCAAACCAGTTTTAAAAAAAAATCCCCAGATAGGTTTGCAGTAGTCAGTTCTCCAGTGGGTCATATGACACTGGTGTCTAAACTCAGGCTACAGTTTAAAAAAAAAAAAGTAAACAAGCAAGCAAAGCTTTACAGCACTACTATGTACACAGCTTCTCAGGTGAAGAGAGAGCGCTGGTGTCGTGATGAAGGAAAAGGGCGTGAAATGGAGACTCCAGTGAAACAAGAGTCCTTCTTGGCACGGGGCTACACTTGAGCTATAGCCGACCACGAGGAGGAGGAGGAGGAGGAGGAGGAGGGAGATGCTTCACCAGAGAAAGAACACAACCACGTAGATCAGAGCAGCACAGCTCGCACATCACACACAAACACACAGAGACACACAGACCAGGGAGCCATTTTCTCCAACAGATCTCACACTGTCGCATAGACTCCCCTCGGCCCGTCACTCGCCATCTCCTTCCTCCTCCCTCGCTCCCATCCCCTTCTTCCTCCTCTAGCATTTGATCTCCCTCTTTCCACCTTGCACTGATCTTTCTAAGGCTCTAGGATATCTCCACACACCAGCCGCAGCTCTATCTATAGCCTGTCACTCATAGTTGTGACTGACGTTTCTGCATCAGCGTTGTTCTTGTAGTTCTGTGCCACACTTGGGAGTTGTGTGGAGGGATATTTAGCACCGGAAAGCAACCTTGACTTTTGTATTCCCCCCCCCCCCCCCCCGCCCCCTCAATCACTCATAAAATCCCAAAAACGCACGCATAAACACAGATAGAGGAGCTAAGCACAGGAGAACGTGTCATTTCCTCGCTCCATTTCCTGTTGATATAAAGTGACAGTTTCTACTGGCTGGTTCAAAATGCCGGTGGCCACTGGAGATGTGGGAGAGCAGTTGACCTAGATTCATGAAGAGGTGCCTCCCCACCGATGACTGACGCCCTCCCCATCCAATCAGAATCCACTCTGCTCCATCGTATCTAACAGCGGTTCATCAGCAGCTTGAAATCCTTCTGTTCAGGTGCTTCAGGCCGCGTGGTCAATGGGAACTTCATTTCCCGCAGTTCGGGATTCAGTTTGTTTCACATTTTGCAAAGTGTCCATGCAGGTGTGAGGATGGGGCAGGAGTTATGTTTTATATTCACAGACGGTGCAGTGAAACCAGAAACAGAGATAGGGAGGAAGAAGACGTGTTCACGGAGGGGTAACAGTCTGCAGGGGAAGGTTTATTGGAGCAGTGGAGATGAGATGTAGGGAATACGCACACTTCCCCCCCCCCTCTCATATTCTGTACATACACACCCACAGAGGCTTGATTATTTTAAACGAGCGGTGCTGGAGCTGTACAGTTGCCCGTGTGCTCTGTCTTCAGCTACACTGTGCATGGATGGAGGACAGAGCCAAATGTTTCCATGTGAGAGTCAGCATTGTGAAGAGCAGCAGAAAAGACATCCTGACTGACAGAAAGAGGGAGAGCAGGAAAAAGCCATAGATTTCACAGTTTTTCAAGGATGCTTACAGTGCTGTATAGTCTCAGGGGAGCAAATCAAACAAAATGGAAAAGTATACTGCATGTTGATGTTTTCAGATCTGAGTCAGCGTGTGTTTTGTTTTGCTACTTGCTGGTCACATTTTGAGTGTTTGAACCCTTCATTAGAGATTTGTGTGCTAGAATAGATTTAGCTCTGTCCTCCATGCCCTACTCTCTCTCTCAGACTCACACACACTCATACAATAGTTGATTGGCCCACAGTCAGTGTTAAAGTCTGTACACAGAGTGAAACAACCCTGTTGGCATCCATGTTTTAAGTCCAATTCAACCAGACGGGGCCCTCGTTCCGGATCCTCCCCTCCTCACCCTCTTCTTCCTCTTCTTCATTTTCTACCACACATCTTCTTTCCAATCCTCTGACTCACCACAGCTGCCTCCCTGTGTAGGTTGGAGGGGCAGAGGGCACCTATAGAAGAAAAAATTAAGTTTGTAAATGATTAAACAATTTGGATATCATCAATACTCACACATGCATCTTTACACACACATGCATACGGTAGCTGCACATTTACCCCTTTTGACACATGCTTGTCTACAAATCCCTCTGTGGTTTAGGAAAAAATTATATTTTCTCGACATAAACTGCCTTGTGTCATCTGGTAGCTGTACTGTACCAGATTTTAAGGCAAACCACAGCAAAGTAGCATTTACCTATTGTACTCTGCAAAGCAGGTACAAACCTCCTTAAGGTATTAGACCTGCCTCAAGACTGACCATCTTTAATTCACCCTTTATGCTCCCCATTTCTTTTCGAGCAAGTGTCTGATATTAAGGGCCAAAATACATCTCTGATCTGCTGCTACCTTACGAACCATCCCGACCCTTTAGGTCGTCTGGGACTGGTCTACTTTCTGTTCCCAGAGTCAGAACTAAACATGGAGAAGCAGCGTTCAGTTTTTCTGCTCCACATTTCTGGAACAAAGTCCCAGAAAGCTGCAGGTCTGCTGAGCCCCTCAGCTCCTTTAAATCAAGATTGAAGACTTTTCTGTTTGCTGCTGCCTGTAATTGAACCAGATTCAAGGATATTAATCAATTTCTGCATTTTACTGTATTGTTTTTCTTAAACTGCTTTTTAGTGTTTTAATCAATGTTCTTAATTGTTTTTAAATCTCCTTTTCTTTTGCCTTATATTTTGATGCTTTTATTGGTTTTATGTGAAGCGCTTTGAATTGCCTTGTTGTTGAAATGTGCTATAGAAATACACTTGCCTTGCCTTATCCATCTTGCACTTGCATTCTACACTCCCTTCTATTTAAGTCTGTGATTTCATCTTTTTAATATCTTATCCTCTTAAATCGCTATGTTAAGATGAATTTCTCATTTAATGCATTGTATGCCTGATGCAAAGCACTTCCCTTTGAGTCTGAAGCATGCTATATAAATAATCTGTCTTTAAAATGAATGCACAAAGACACTGATGATATTTTATGCAGGGCAGTTAAGGAGTCTCTGTGTTCCCTTTGTCCGTTAAAGCAGCACGCCTGCTATCTCTAAGAATAGTGACTACAAATGATCTTCTTCAAAGTGTTGCCTCAGCGTTTTTAGCCTCCAGTGGTGTGTTGGGCTCTTGTGCTAAATTCATAACCCGGGCTGAAAATAAGTTCACCTGTGCCAGCCCGCATTCATCCTGCATAACAAAGGGCGTGACAGGCCGGCAGACAGTCGCATCATTCAGTGGACAGATAGCATCGCAGCTTATTTAGACACACAGGAGCAAATGGAAGCTCTCTCACACTCACCCGTACACAAACTCAATGTCAGATGAGTGACACACACAGGCACATGAACCATGCATCCGGCAAACTGATAATTCGCACACACACATACTCACACCTCTCCCTCATTCGTGTGCAATGACGTACGGTCTGGAACGCACAAATGTGCATGCAGTCTTGTCGGCGTGGTCGAATGAGAGAGAGCGGCGTGTACCTGTGACTGGGAGGATGTACTCACCGCTCCCCCGTTCAGGATCATGGTCATCTCAGTGGGTTGGTAGACGTTGCTGCGAAAAGGAGCACTGGGCCTGGCGGCGGTGTTGCTGTTATGTTGCACGGCACCGGCACCGCTCCTCAAGCCTTGCATTGAATACAAGAAGATATAAGAGAGGCGAACGGAGATTACTTACTGTGACTCACCAACTCCCTGTCTCCCTTGAAGAAAGACAAACTTACTGTCTAACCCTGCATTTCCTCCTGTACTTATTTCTACCCACGCATGCAAATATTTCATGCCGTTCTATTGCTCACTTTGGCCTACATTCCACCTACAGCTTGTCCGCACATATTACGCCTGTCTGCTCTAAAATATTGGATTGTACGGTACCTGCAGCGCTCTCATCGCTGTATCCGTAGCCCTGGTTCTCCACAAACTGCCTGTGAGAGAGAGGGATGTCTTCGTCGAAGCTGGTCTCCCTCATCCGTGTCGAGTTCTGGGAGGTGTCAAAGTAATCTGGGGCAGTTGGCTGTGGAGGGGGTCTCAGGCAGATGTGGGATTCAGGAATGGCGTGGAAGATCAGCAGCAGCCAACCCTGAGCTACTAAAGCAATGGCCAGTGCCGGGTCATTCCATTCTGGGGATCTCCCCAGCCAGGCGTTGCCGTACAGATAGAAGCCCACCCAGGCCACCCACAGGAGCAGCGACAGCAGGCAGGTCACCAGCAGCCAGATGGCATTGCAGCGCCACTGATGTGTCTTCCCACACAAGGCCAGGGTGGCGGCAGTCAGCGCGGCTAGAAGGAGGGCTAGCACGTAACTGCAGGCTAGGGAAAAGTCAAGTGGCAGATACTGACAGGCAGCTCGTCCCTCCCTCAGCACGGTGAGAAGAAGCCACTCGGCAGCGATGATACCCTGTACGGCACTCAAACCCAGCGCGAGGCCTGTAAGGGCGCAGCCACCAGGGCTCCGGCGCTCACGGCCAATCCTTCGTAGGCGTACCCCCTGCACCAACAAGCAGGAGAAGCAGACTGCAAACAGGAGACCCCACAGGGCCCTGCGGAGCAAACATAAAGACTCATCCTGCTCGATCAGGTAAGCAAAGCTCAGGCCGAACAAACCGAGGATGCCGAGGAGCAGCAAGAGGATGGGTCCCACGCCGCTGCGCTTCTCAGCCTCACTGATGTGGTGTAAGCGGCACAGCAGGATTAGGGCTAGCAAGATGGCAGTCAGCATCCCGCCGGCGGCCGCTGACTCGACAGCCACACCCCATATGGAGTCCAGGTCACAGAGGAGTGTGTAGGGACGCACAAGGCCCCATCCGCAGCCTCTTGGGAGATCCTCAGAGTTCATAGAGTCTTGACCGGTGGCACGATGAGCAACAGTCAGCAGCAGCAGGAGCAGGACCGGGAGGGGTGCCATCTCTGAGAGGTCAACAGATCAGAAGACAGAGATAGACGAAGAAGCGAAGACAGAGAATGGAGAAAGTCAAAGGAAAGGAGAGAGAAGGAGAATGAGTCATTCTGGTCATAAATGCAACACAGCCGAGCAGTCAGTCATTCCCACAGTAATCATCCGCCTGTGAGTGACAATACAGACAATCAGCCACTGCTGTGTTTTAGAGAGGAAAGAAAGGGCAGTAGTTCATGCAGGGTGAACGACTGAAGTCTTTCCAAACACACACGCATCCTGTGTACTGTCTATTCCAAGTGTAGCCTATAGCCCTGCCCTCGTTTAAAATGCTTTCATTTTTGTTGAAATACCTAGAAACCAAGAAATAGCCCAGATAATCTGTCTTTAGTTCATCCACAGAGAAGTGAGGTCAGAGTCAGAGCATCTACAGTGTATTATTTGTCCAGTCTTGTCCAGTGAACCGGCTGCCCGGGCACTGACAGGAAAGCTGCAACATCATGCATATTTTTATGAAAACGAGATACAGAGAAGGAAAGCAGTGCGTACAAGCAGTCCTGCTCGCTATCAGGCATCTAAGGGCATCTAGCAAGGCGTGAGACAATGCATAATGCACTGCACACAAACACACAGCGCATCGAGCACAACTACAAACACTCAGGTACTTATTGTGTTCCGGTGAAAGAAAACGTAAAAAGCACAGCAGCACTCGGTGAGTGAAATCAATGCTGTCTCAGTCTACTTATTCCTTTATTCTGACACAACTGTCAGACAGCCGCACGCGCACATGCACACAAATATGCATTCTGTCTGTCGTTTCATTCAGGTCTTTTCTGGGATGATCGGCGCTGTCATTTCACCTGACAAGCTGTGTGCTTTTGAGAAGTCGATCTGTGTATAAAAGCCACCACGAAGCAGCACACGCATACACAGACACACACACACAAGGCATCATTCTTCCAGGTTACTGTCAACATGTCTCTCCACTTCATCGCTAAGCTTTCAGAAATTCTTTCCAAGCTGGCTCATACATTAGTGTGTCAAACAATCGGCTTGTACGAAGAACACTAACACGCTTTTCTAGTCGCTCCTACTCTTTGGATTGTTTATTTCAGCTGTAGTTTTTGGCATAAAAAAAATCTCCCGGGGTCTACAAATAGACCTTACCGCAATATTTACATACCACATAAAGGACACTGGCTTCATGTTCTTTCTCCATGCCAGTAAGTCAGAGAGAGTTACATGGTCTAGCCATCAGGGGAGAGTGGTAGATTTAAATACACACCAGCCAGGGCTACAGGTCACACACATCCCTTCCAGCATGTAGCTTATTAAATGGGGCAGACAGCGAGAAAGAGCGCTTAGATACTCTTTTATCATGAGGAAAATAAGGACAGAAGAGGGAGGAAGACTGGTTGACTTGCAGTAAATATACTCTGACCAGACCTGGTTTTGATTGTATGATCTGTCACTTTACTGCATCCAACCTTCTCTACAGTGGTGGAATGTCGTGAAGTACATTTACTCTAGTACTGTACTTGAGCGCAAATCTGATGCAGTAGGTTCAAGGTGCTAAATTCAATGTTCATTGCATTAATATAACAGCTATCAACTCTTTGCTATGTAAAGATATCATGGAGTAATATATCTACCTGAGCAGAGAATGAACTCGCTCTCTCTCTCTCTCTGTGTTGTAATCTGAGCTTCTCTGTGCTTTCTTGACATAGCCGGCCGGCCGCGCTAGCCTTTCAGTGCCCCCTTTCTGCACTGTGCTCTTACGACTGTTACAGCTGATAACGCCGTCTCAACCGGCGTCGCCATCGCTGCAGCCAAGCGCCCACCCCTCCGGTTCCCCCCGTTAGCTCTGTCAGCATTGTTGCCATTGATTGCACTGTTCGTGCACTGTTTGCTGCGAGCCGCCAGCCCAGCTGTCGCCATGTTGATAGCCGTTGAGAGGCAATGCTTTGACTTCTGTATGGAGAACTTTTAAGTATCGTCCTTTGACGCAACTTTGTAGTTCTACTCCACTACAATTCAGAGGAAAGTATTGTACAGCACTAGTTACCAGTTACTCTACAAATTAAGAGCCTATAAAATATGATACACTGTTATAAATTGAATTACCTACGAATTTAAAGCTGAAACGATTAGTCGATTAACAGAATAGTCATTCGATAGAAAGTTAAAACTGTTTTTATAACAGCTTAATCATTTAAAAAAAATATATATATTTCATGGTCCCAGCTTCTCAAACATGAGGATTTACCGTCTTTTGAGCTTGTGGACTGTTAGTCAAACAAAACAAGCATTTTGGTGTCACTGCTGCTCTTGGTGATGGTGATGGGCAATTCTCACTATTTTCTGAAATATCGCAAACCAAACAATCAATCGATTAATCAGCATATTAATCAATAATGAAAATAGTGCTGCTTACATACTCCTACTAAAGTAACATTTTGAATGCAGGACTTTTATTTGTGATGGAGTATTTTTACAGCGTGGTATTGGTACTTTTACTTAAGTAAAGGATCTGGACTTCCACCACTGATTTTCTATTACAGGTACCTTTGCACAGAGAGGGTTGTGTATGTTAATAATAACTTAATTAACATAATTTCTGAGTGAACTCTCAATATATGTTCAGAGATTCCTTACGGCAATTTTCTATCACAAGGGGTTCAATTCTTCCCCAAATCTCCACATAAAAACACAAACATGTCCACATACAGATATTCCCTGCATATGTCCATCTATTTATTTACAAGCTTTTGATGTGTCTGTCCTGATATCCATATAAAAATGTATATTTTTAAGACAGCGATTGTTTACCACTTGTGAAATATCATTATCTATTCCTGTGAGACCCGAGAGGGCATAACAGTGAAAGATGCATATGTGTGTGTGTTTGTGCATATTCATTTGTTTAGAGCTCTTTCATGTATCCTTCAGAGATTTACAACATCCGAATTCTTCCTCATTACAGAAATTCTTCGCTCCCTTGTTTCCTGCCGTTGTTTCCGCCTGCTGTTTCCTTTCGTCTCCTCACCGCCTTGTTGCAGCCACTCACTGCCGCAGGTTATTATTGGTCTACATTAACATCAATCAAATGAGTGCTTAAAGAAGGATGAGTCACCAAAACACACCAAAAAAACACACTGCTGGAGCATTTTACACACACACTGACACGCATACCTAAACAAGTTGCACAAAAACAGACGCACTCCTGATAAACACATGTTTTCTTTTTGTTATCGTGTTGTTTTTCTAGTGACAACCATGGTTACGCCCCATCTCTAAATGACGGGAATAGAGAGAAAGCTCATTGTTCGTCTTCTTTGTCCCACTTCCTAATGACAGAGCCTGTGAAACCACACAGTCCAGACAAGCAACACAGAGACAGGAGCTTGTGCACACTAGTGAGTGACCACTTTTTCATTCACTCACGCTCTCACACAGAAACTCCCTCTTGTGAACATGATCGCTCAGGCTGCTTTTTGAGTGGGACTTGGCAGACTGGTGAGCTGAAGACTGAAGGATGCACACAGAGGACCACACACACACACATACATCATGCAGGACACACAGTACATAACACATACCTACAGCACACATGCCACATGCTTGAGTCCTCTTCCCTGCTTCTCACTAATATGAGTCATGTGCAAAGAGACAGAGAGCCCCTGGCCTTCCGCTTTGTGCAGCACAGAGGATGCTGCCGCCGTCTCATCCTCCCTTTCACTCCGTCCCATTTTTCAAGACATGTTTCCCTCTCTCTGTCACTCCCGCTCCGTGCAGCCATTTCTGTCCTCCCCTCCATTTAAAATCCTCTATTCTGTCGGTTTCAATGCCACCTCTCCTCCAGAGCAGCCGGAGCGGTCTCATCTCTCTGCTACATTTGAAGATGTGCTGTGAAAGATGCACCTCACACACCTCCTCTCCCCACATTTTCTCCTTCTTTTCACCCCCCACCACCATCTAATCTCCTAAACACACCCCTCTTCCTTCCATTTTGGCTTCTTCTTCTTCCCTCCTTGTGCCCCTTCCTCCTCTCCACCCTCCCTCCCTCCCCCTTGCCTTTATTCTTGCTGTGTATCTTATGTAACTGGGTAAGGATCCAGCTCCTGCCAGTTCTGCTGCATGGCTGCTGTTTCTAAGGCATCATCTTCCTCTCGGCCAAGCAGCCTTCTGTCACTCGGAGGTCCATCTCAGTTTTGTATTCTGCACATAGCGGGGTTACATGCATGCACGCTGCACATGTCACTCACACACAAAAACACACTCAAGCTGGCGCAAAGCCCATGTGTGCTGGCTCTATTTGCATGTAAATATAACATTCAGCTTTGTGGCATGTATTTATGCATCTGAAGGCAACACATTCTCACACAAAGCTGAATGTGACAAGTATGCAGCATGCATTCCTTATACACACAACAGGAATATAGGCGTGAGAGTGCAAATGTGCAGCACTGCAGTCCCTCAAATGTGGTCCAGGCTTGAATAGGCAGGCGTGGGTGAATCGAGCGAGCCGTCCTGTACAATTACCTTCTCCTGTAATTATCAGACATAGCACACGAGCAGATGCTGTCTAATTACCGTGGTGATAATTGGGAGGATTATTGCGTTGACGACTCGCTTCAATTCTTGGTTGTTTTTTTTTCACCCCACTTTTGTTTTATTCAGGCTACTGACGGAGAACGTGTGTGTGTGTGTGTGTGTCTGTGTGAGTGTGTAGGTGTATGTCTGGGAACACACGGATCCAGCTGTTGAGGTGAGCAGGACATTTGCAGGACTTGTGATCTCTGTGAGAATCTACAGCCTTATCCACCGTCTCGTCTAACACTAACAGACCTTTCCTTTCCTGACAGCGCATCAATTTACATCTTGCATCAGTGGCTGGGATTACATAAGGCCTTAGATATCAGACATGTTAAATTAACCCGGGCTGTCTGGATGTTCTGTCTCATTATACAAGATTTACTTTGGATTAAAAACACATCTGCGCTTCAGGATAAGATTGTATGCTCTGCTAGCTGGGTTTGTCATTGGAGGCATCTAAGACTCGTCTTTTACTCATTGTTGTTTCTTCTGTCTTAAGCTCTCTTGACCTTCTCTAGTGTCTTGCCTGAGAATAATTGGCTTTAAGTTGCTCCTAGAGTTTGAGTCCAGACTGATCCGGATATATATCTTCTTCTCTGATTCAATTTGACCAGCTGGTTGTCTGGCAAATCTCTTTCCTGCTTCTTTTACATGTGCGTTTCTGATGTCACCAAGCTGCCATTTAACATATATCCTCCCTGGAGTTTTGGAGACGCTTTATTTGAAAAAGAGCTTAATGTGGACATACTTTTAGGCTGGATGCTCATCCAAAAAAAGATGGCTCTCTCTTTCTACCTCAAGGATACTTTGACAGGACACATTGTCGTCGTGATCCCTGAACTTGTGACTTGTAACGGCCTTCCCTGCCAATGGAGCATTCAGTCAGAGACCTCCTACGCAGAGCATTGCAAAAGCACAGCCAAAACAATTCCAAGTCAGCGTTTTGAGAAAGAAAAATCTCTAATGTAGGTTTGCTGACATAAACCGACCTGACAACACAGCTGGACCTTTAATATATTGTTTCCCATGAATAGATAGATACTTGAAAACAATAACTTCGATTATCAGATGTTTTTTTTCTTGAACAAATGCAAAGGAATACATTTAACTCCTACTTCAAATAAAATGCACAATAACCATACATTTCATTGCAGGGTCTGATTCGTCTGACTTCTCTCATACAATTTCTCGGACCAATGTCTAAATAATTTCAGGGTGGCAGTGCATGTGTGAAAGTGGCTTTAGTCTCCAATCTCTCGAAATCTCTAACCTTGCAGAGTGACGTCACCAATCCCTTGTGTGGCAGATAAAAATGGGAATAAAAAAAAGGGGATGCAGAGACAGAAAGAGGGGAGCAATGCGGTAGACGTCAAGGCATGACGTATTGGTTTGCTAAAATATTGAAAAGGAGTTAGTGAGGACAAGTTTCAGGGAAAAAAAATAGCCCTGCAGATGACAGGAGTAGCAGAGCCAAATGGAAAGGCATATTTAGTGGCGAGACTGAAAAAAGGGTAGTCCATTCACTTCACCGGCCTCCTGGGTGTCAGCACGAACAAACTGACAGTGGAAGCATTTTCCCCAGCCTCTTCAGACAATCCCGGCCATCCTAATTAGACCTCATTACCATGTGACTAGGCTCACAGCAAGACCATATGCTAATTGACTTAACAATTAATACTGCCAGCGCCTTACACCCCTCCCTCTCCTCCCTTTTCTTCTTCCCCCTCCTCTTCCTACATCAACAACAGATTGGGGTGTGATCGGTCAGATGTGAAGGCATTCCAAACCTAAAAAAGCACCCAGAAACAGAGCCACTGACCTCTGGTGTCGTGTGTGTTTTGCTTCTTTGGGACGTCACTGTGCATCTTTCATTATAGATACAGTGATGGGGGGTGATCACAGGAGCCCAGGGAGATCAGATTTGGTTAGAGAGTGTGATAGTAATCAGAGGAGCAGGAGAAACAAGGAACAGGCGGATGTGCAAAGAAAGAATTGGAGTGAGCCTTGTGCCTAGAGCATGTGTGTGTGTTTGTATCTGTGTGTGTGTGTGTGTGTGTGAGGGGAGGAGGGTGGATGCGTGAACACAAATGTTCATGAAAGGAGAACCAGGGAAGCTCCCATGTATGTGAAAATCCAGCTCATAGATTCCGTGTCATGCGTACATAAAGAGGCCGCGCGCACGCACACACACACACACACACACACACACACACACACACACACACACACAAAACCATCTAAACAAGCTACATATGGCATCAGCCCTGAGGAGATACTGTAGCATCCTCTTTCCCCATGAGGAAGCAAACTAACTCATGAAAGCGCTGCCTGAGAATAAACAGCTCCACTGAATATTGATTAATGATGGAAAACAGAACACTCCAAAATAGGCCCGGGAGCTTTCTGAGTACACAAATACTGCACTGACGGAGACTCAAGGCGCATGTATCATCTATTGACCAACAGAAAGTCCATCCATGCATTGACTCCCATTACCATACAAACTCTCTTCGTCTAATTGGACACAAGTGTCCATTTAAGCGCAATTTCTTTCCAGAGTTGACAACAAGCCTTTTGTTTATGAGGCCAGCGTGGGAGGGACACCCTTGGTTTTAGCTGACCTAAGGAGCACCTTAATGCAAACACACATTTGGAGAATGCCCCCCCTCTCTCTCTCTTAACAATACTGGCCACATAGGAGGGTCCCTGGGGGCTTCCAGAAGAGTGTGTTTGTTTGAGGGAGCAGCAGTAAGACCATTGTTACTGAGGTGTGTGACCCAAATATAAAGAATGACATCTAACCTCTAAACTAAAGAATGGCGGAGTGATTGACACTCCCAAAATATCCCAGTGTATTGTGGGGTGAAAATGGAGGCGCAGCTACTAAAGGAGACCAACGTTTTCAAAATCGTGAGAAAATTGTGGCACAGCCAGTCAGTCCTTGAATATCACACAGGTCAAAGTCCTCCATGTCTTTAGTTAAGGTTAACATGGCTTTTGCGAATGCCCTTTGGGGTCATATGTGCCAATCTCTGGGTGTAAATATACATTTCTGCAGCATGCCCTGTGCGTAAATGTACATTTATGTCTGAAATACTGCGTGCCCTTTTTGACTCACACACCTATGCATTTGGTGCATCGACATCGCCTTTCTTCCCGGACTGTCATTGATGCAACTTCCACCTCAATTGTAATAAGCCCCGAAACAGCCTGCAAAACGCGATGCATTCAAATAAACCGAGATCCCCTGTGGGTTCATCTAAAATAGTCCTACCCACTGAATATATATCACGCGCACCATCTCCACAAGGGTATCACACTCCCCGACCCCCATTCTTATTAATCAATATCCATGACATGGATACATGGTGGGCAGCACGTACCTTAAACGACGTAAACAAATCCGATCGAGAGCGAAGGCAGATGCACAGATGTCAGGTTTGATGGGAGACTGGGGAAGTAAAAATGTCACATTTCGGAATGAGCCCCTCTCGCTGTGTTTGCGTATTCTTTCTCCATCCACATGGACTCGTACGCGATAAGTCCAGATGATTCCCCTTGCTCCAGCTCTACAGAAGAGGAACCCGATTATTCAGCCCGTGTCTGTTGTCCTCAGAGGCAGAATGGACATGGACGAAACACACCGGAATTTCAGGATTACAATGTGGAAGGGATTCTTTTCCCCCTAAATCCTTTGTTCAGCGGTGCGCATCTTTGACTTTCACATTGCACCAATAAGGGAGCATTCATCAAAAATAAATAAAACACACAATGAGTCGAAATCCTGTAATGCGCAGAGTCGGTGCCACCAAACCTACCGGATCCTTTTCTCCTGCTACCGCGCTGAATATGCCGCTTATTAATGTCCGAGTTGACGCTCACTGCTCCCTGCTGCACATCTCCCGACTGAGTGCATCACCAAAACTGCGCTCCGCATAACGCGCGTACTGATAATCCCTCTCCGCACACACACACACACACACATACACGCACACACAGAAAGTGACAGCTCACCAGAGCCGCCACTGACTCCTGTCTGGTCTCCCTCACTTTAACTGGTTTACTCTCCGATAAATTAGTTGGTGCCTGACTGGGGGACCTTGATAAATATCCCTTCTAGGCGCACAGCGGGTCTTTCTCTCTTACACACACGCGCATACGCACACTTCCTAAATCTTTCATAGTGTCAGTGTAACAGGCTGTACGCACAGCTTGGAGTCTTTTGCACGCTACTCCTGCAAAGTTCCAGATATTGGTATTGTTTTTGCCTGGTTGACTGCGCTAAATCATAGAAAATAAACCAATACAGTGTCAAGTTGTACTATTACAACTCTATTTCCGGGCAGATCTTTCAGAATAAAGTTCTTAAGATAAATAAGACAATCCTTTTTAACATAACACTCAAATCAGCTTGTTGAATATATTGCTACAGATCAACCCCCCCCCCCCCCCAAAAAAAAAAATCAACAACAGGTTGATTAAAAGAATAGTGCCTTTATCTAAAATATATTACTATTTGCCTCATTCAGGCATTTACCAGGCTACAGACACGCACTGAAGGCAGCAAATTGTCGTCCAAGGCACTGATTAGACCATTAGTTGCAAATTAGGGTTTACAGTTTAGCTCACTCCAACATGTGGACTGAAGTCGGAAAGAGCCAGCTTGGGACCACAACCCTGCGCTTCATGGAGGGCCCACCTGCTGAGCAGCGGCATCATACTCATGGAGTGAGGACCCGTCGCCATCTTACTACAGTCTACTATTTGAAAAAGGTCAACTCACAAATCCCAGCCCCCTTCTTCTGCAACTGATGCGTTTTCATTTTACGAATTGATGCTCTTATTTTGAAAGTACTCCAGCTTCTTGTTCTGGGTTACTCTGATTATTTCTGGCTACTTGACACAGCCACAAATCGCTGTGGTGCCTATTATTTCTCCCTCTCGTCACATGCTTGTCGCCTCAGCTGCTTCAGTCCATCCACCAGGGAGGCTTTCAATGGTGTAGCCCCCACCAACCCCACTACCTCCACCCAACCCCCACCCCGGGCTTCCATCCTGTCTTTATAATGGTGCATGTGAGCCAGTGGAAGTCATCTATGGCAACGTTGTCACAATTTGCACTGGGTCCCAAAATTGATAACGCAGACTTGGCCAATCAGGAGAAAGGATGGCTGCCATGACACCTCTGACCAGGTATTCATAATGATGCTACGGGTCTAAAATATGATCAGACAATGGAGATACAAACATCCACTCTCTCAGCTCTCATTTTATAGAACTGGAAATAATCCAGTGGCTTGGGGGTGTTAATCTTCTCTTCATCGTTAATGGTAAAAAGCTAAATCCTGCTGCAATATGAGCTGAGAACCAACGACCAGTCAAACACTCTGCATGGGATTGACCTCTCGTTGCCTGCACCCACCCCCCATGTCCCTTTCACACACATAAATACATGCAAAGTGAGATGACATGCAGGCTCTGGGCAGTAAGGAGGCGTATTATATGGAGTGGCAGCTGAGGATGTGAGACTAATCTGACAGGTGCAGTCTCAGAGTGACAGCACGGGAGGAGGGGGTGGAGGAAGAGGAGGAGGGGAGGGGTCTCTACTCGAAACAGGACGACTAAGGAGATTAATGGCTCTCATTTACTCAGCAGACAGGCTCAGGCTGTACATCATCAATATGCTTGTTCTCATCATCTTTGTTATCAGCAGGGATGGATTGTGCACATAAGAAGCAATCATTGCTCTATTATACATAATGGTTTTTGGAAGAACATTAACCCGCCGGTGTAGGGTGATAGTATATTTATGACTTGTATTAATACGTAGGCCTAATTACTGAATATTGCGCTTTGAAGATAACTTTAACATTTTGTGACTGTATGAAATAATAATTTTGGGAAATGCGCATTTTCCCTTTCTGGCCGAGAGATTGGATTTGTAGGCTGATACCCTCCATTCTGTATGGTGAATATGTAGCTGGAGCCAGAAGCCAGTTAGCTTAGCTTAGCACAAAGATCAAAGACTGGAGGACAGGGGGAAACAGCTAAAGCCAACATGTAATCTGTAGTGTTAAGGGGGGTTTATGTGGCTGACTATTTATTTGCCGGGCACGGCAACTTATGGTTGATGCTAGAATGGATGGTCTGGAGGGAGGAATGGTTCGGGTTAGGAAAGCCAATTGTTCAGGGGAAAAGAAGCGCAAAAGCACACGAGCAGATCAGGCAAGCGTCGCTCCGGCCCATCCATTTTAGCAAAAGGGCTTTAGCTTTTCAGATACCCCAACCCGAGGTAGAACAAAACACGACCATATTTTTCATAATTCCGATAATGACGGTTATACCTGAAATATTTAATACAGCGAGAATACAGCAAAAAGTGCTGAAATTGATCTATATACCACAAGCAAAAAAGTACAGAATAAAATCACACTTGAGATGGTGTTGGGGTATCTAATCTCAACTCAGTACTTTTTACTGTTTAGATATAAGTGGTAGTAGACCTGCAACCCATAAAATGCAGTTTTCCACTTGTTGAAAAGAGATAAAGCTCCTACCGTGTCACTAAAAGTTTATTTATGTCTCAAAATGACTTGATTTAATTCATCTCAGTTTTATTTGACGGATTATAGCCCACCCATTCCATTATACCTCTTCAAATATCTCTGCATGTCGAAAAAAGTTATTAAAAGTATAGTATGACGAATAAAGTCATAGAAAAGTCATAAAAAAATCATAGTATAGCATGTCAAAAAAAGTCATAAAAAGTGATAATATAGTTAATATAAAAGTCATATTACAGTGTCAAAAATACACAATTTGTCAAAAAAAGAAATGTCGAAAATGATAATAAAACATGTTTAGTATAGTATGTAAAAAATGTCATAGTAAAATACATCAAAACAATTCATAGGGTAGTATGCTGAAATTATTTATTTATAAAATAATTGTATATTATGTCAAAAAAAAGTGATCATGTAGTATCTCGAAAAAAGTTAAAGCATAGTATGTCGAAATAAGTCATAAAAATGTCATTGTATCGTATGTTGAAAAAATTAATAAAAACCATATTATAGTATGTCAATAAAAGTCATAATATAGTATGTCGCAGAGAGTCATTTAAAAGCCATTGTATAGTAAGTTGAAAAAAGCTAATATTGTAGCTTGTTAGAGTCACAGTCACAGTTCATTATCTCAAATGTATGTGATATGGATTCTGGCACCTAACAACACAGTAAGTTGACATTTTCGATGCGTAACTTTAGCCTACTCCAGTGAGGTCTTTCCTTTGTTTTGCCTCCAGCTAACACCATGACATAACCAGGACGTTTGCTGTAAAGGGGTCTATAATTTTGTCTCTGTTTATGTTCTTTCTTTCCTTTCTCTCCTCCTTCCCTCATTAGGCTACATTAGCCCCCCCCCCTCCCCCGTGCTGCCCGGAGGTTGCCTCACCTCGTTAAGACCCTTTTCGGCTCAAACACAATGAGCCACGGAATGATGGCAGGATGGCCGACATACAGGCCCGCATGCTGCAGCTGTTTCCAGTGACAAGCATCAGGATGAGAGCCTACGACCTCACAGGATGTATTAACTATGACAGGATGCAGGTGTCTGAAATTAGCAGAAAAATTCTCATTTTAAATAGCATTTTGTTTCCAGACACACATCCAATTTTTAACTATTTAACAGAGGTGGAGGATGCGTTATGGAGAAAGGGTCAGCTGAACAAGTATTTTGTGTAGAAATACTACAATTATTGTCAAATACTAGTGAAATGTGCTGAGTCAGTCACTGAGTAGTAGTGTGTACCCTTCGCCTGTCACTGGCTGCTCAGAATACTAAAAACCTGCCGTTTCGAAGTTTCCAAGCACTGCAGAAGGAGGGTAGATATTAAAGGTCACCTGAATGTGAGCGTGTCAATTTGAGACAATCTATATGTAGATTTGCATGTTGTGTATCTGGAGGACAGGACACATACATAGAAGACCTCACACAAACACACAAAGCGTTCTTATCTGACCACTTCAAAGACCACCACATAGGCAGTAGCACACACAGAGACCTTTCCGTCAGCTCCTCAGGTTTCACAATGGCTTTAAACAGGATTTAACCCTTAGAAGGTCAGGGTGACGTCAGTGGAATAAAGGCAGCTCGAGGATTTACCTTCCTCCTCTGTCATCCACTCATCATGTCCACATACTAAAAGTGACGTGTTGTTTTTAAAAAACGTGTTGTTTTTAAAGCGGAATTGTCAACTAACACGGAAACGATGAAAGTTGGATACAGTAAAGTCATCAAAGATCAGATGAAGTGAGACTTTTATTTACAAGTATGTTTGTTTGTCTATCTCATTTGGTGTGGAAAAAGGCTCCATGATCATGGATCCTTAGATGGATCACCACGAACAGACGTTCATGGTCCACAGAGGATGAATCCTGCTAACTTTGACGATCCTCTGACTTTTCCTCCAGCAGCGCTATGCGGTTGATATTTCTGGTTTTAAGTGAAATATCTCAACAGCTATTGGATAACTAGCATGGAATTTGACACAGACATTCAAATCCCCCTCAGGTTGACATGTAATCGCTTTAGTGATCCCTTCACTTTCGCCATCATCAGGTCAAATTACAATTTGTCCAGTATTTGGTTTATGACCAAATACTAATGACATTCACATTGTCCCTCAGTTGTACTTTGTGTTTATGCTACATTTATGCAAATGTCATCAGAACAAGAAGAACAGCCAAATCTCTCATTATTCCAACATGGCGACGTTGATTCCTAGATGGTTACCCATATTGACTTGCATTCAAAGCAGATACATGTCCTAGATTTGCTATTTTAGTTGTGTTAGCAGTTAATTAAAGTCAAACCAGACACAAACACACATAGCTCCTTCTAAACTAGCCGAATCTATTCACTTTGTGTTAATATGGATTTTGTTTGGATGGAATTGCTAATAGTTTGCAGCAATGTCTTTATAGTTATTTTTACTAATAGGACGATATTGTTATCAGAAATATTTTGACCTGGAATTACAAGTCGTTTTGTTCTTACTCCACTGCTCGTAATTATGATACGCAAACGATAAAGGCAATAGTGCCAATTAGCAAATGTTAGCCTGCTAACATGCCTAACTGATGGAGAGCATTAGGCCTATACCTGCTAAACATCAGCATGTTAGTATTGTCATTGTAAGCATATTAGCATGCTAATGTTAGCATTTAGCTCAAGCTCAGTAACGCCTCACAGAGGAGCTATGCATGACTGGAGACTCTTACTCTTGTCAAACAACAAATATGGGGGGAATTTGACGACAGCCAAGTTATATAAAGTCACAGCCTGTCTCTTTCTTTTTCCTGCAGCCGCTTCATCCCAGTACAGGCATTAACCTCTCGAGGTCCTCTGTTACCGCCACCCTTCTGCACAATTGCCCAACCGAGTGGAAGCTGCTCTGGCGCCGGGCAGAGTTTGAGATGGGGAGGGTGACTGCAGAACCATGTGTCTGTGGAGTCCTGAAGGGAGAAAATATGGGGGACATGGATGTTTGGGGACTATTGGGGGATTATTGGGCAAGATCATAAGCGTGCCTTCTGATACTGGGGCGCTCATTACACACATAGCACGAGACTTTAACTCATCTGCCCTCCACGCTCAGACATACTGTTAACCTCCTGCGTAGAATCAGACACCACGCAGACAGATTATCCTTCCCACAGTCTGTCATTTGATGTCCCCCTCCAGTTGCACACGACGTAAATAAGCATGTATGTGCTATTCATACAAGCACACACTCACACACACTCTGGGGAGGATTTGCAATCACAGCATGCATCCATTTGTGGGGTTTGGGGAGAGTGAAGGATTATTGGTTTAGTAGGACACTGCCCAGATGTACACACATTCCTGACACATAGTAGTCAACTTATTATTACCAAAACTTGCAGCAATCTTGTCCAGCAATAGTATAATTCCATTTGTGCAGAGTGAAAGGTTTTGTATCGAGTGCTTTCACATCCCACCATCTGTAACGGCCTCGCTAATGTTTCTCTCCGGGGCCTTTTCATTCATCTTGTCTAATACAATGTAGGTCCATCAATCCGTCCACACAATGACTGAATTTATTTCTGTGTCAATGTCACAATTCCCCAGTTTCTTGCTCTATCCCTCCCCCATAATTACAAGCTAGTTCATCTCTTTGCTTTCTCAGACTGTCTGTTAAACATCTCACACTCATTTTTTCCGTCTCAGCATTCACGTTGCGTCCTCGTCTCTCTATTTGCTCAGATTCAGGGACTAGAATCAAACCGATGCCATTGCTCTTTGATATTTAAGTGATACTTTAAACAGGACTTTCAAACGGCCTGAATTCAGCAGTTCAGAGCATGTTTAAGTTTAGCTGCTGTACCTTGTTCTGTGTGTGTTTTATGTGCGTCTCTACATGCAAACTTGAGCATATAAATGGAGCTGGCGGGACCAGACTCAGGAAGGAAGGAGCTCCACTCAAATGAATCTCCACTGAACGGCCCAGTAAAGGAGCAGAACCATTTTTGGGAGAAAGGAGCCATCTCCTAGGGGAGTACCATGGCAACAGCCAACGTGGGCCCCAGCTTTCAGAGCTGTCCTTTTCAACCGCCCGATCAGAAGTGGCAGGCCAGATTTTTTGTTATGTGGCGTCTCTTGCTCTCTCTCTCTCTCTCTGGCCTATTCTTCTGCCTCTCCTTTTCTCTTCCTGCATGTCACGGTCCTGGACTTGTTCACCGGGGAGGCTGTGAGAAGACTGCAGAGGGCGAGTGTCTGTGGGAAAATGTTGCCAGACAACACGGTGGTATGTGACAGTGAGGGCCAGCTAATATAATCTGGGACAAAAGGGGAATATACGACTAGTCAAGATAGATTTTCAGAGCTACATTTCCTCTTTGTACTTGAAGGTTTTTACACAAGACAGGTATAGACGGAAATAGAAGAGCCTTTAAGTTTAAATCACCATCAGTCATCATCACTAGGTTGTTTCAAATGTGCTTGTTCTTGTTTTTGACCATGTTAACCCTTCTGTTTCATCACTATTTTTGTGTTTATCTGCATGCTAGCAGCCCTGGAGATGTGGAAGCCAGCCAGTTGGTCCACTGCCTTGGTCCAGACTGAAATATCTCCACAACTAAGGGATGGATTGACACACAACTATGTACTTTTCTTTAGTCACCATGAGGTTGAAAATGTCTCAACAACTTTAAATTTTGTGTCAATCTCAGGATCAATAGTAATCACTTTTCACCATCACTTGGCTTTTCATAAAACAACATCTGCTGAAAGCTTTAATTTGTCCAATGCTTTGGTTTGTGACACATTAACTGCAAATCTAATGACATTCCCATCAGCCTCAGCTGCACTGGGTTTACAAATTAGCAAATGTTAGCATGCTAACTTGCTAAACTAAAAGGGTAAATATGGTTAACGTTATACCCACTTAACATCCACATGTTAGCATACTGATGTTTTCTCTACATTATAAAACCTAAAGGTTAAATTTCTCATCTCCATTGACATTGTTTTTTGACCCTTTGGTTTTTTCTATTATTATTTTAGATTGTTTAGTTAAAATTCAAAAAAAAAAAAAAAAAGCTCCTTAGGATCTGTGACATAACTTCAAATGTTCAGATATTTACATTTTTTCTCAATATCTTCCAGAAACACAGCTGTATACTTCAACCTGAAAACAATGACGGAACTGACAGCAGGTGTGTTGTTAGGGTTTATTACATTCACAGAACAGTGATTAACTGGAGTGTTACAAGGTGCATGTCAACCAGTACAGTAAGTTGCAAAAAAATAACATAACATAAAGGTTATTAAAAGGTATGTCCACGTCACAAAACACATGCTGAATAATTCAATGCATTTCTTGCTGCTTCTGACCCTCTGCGTGATACAAAAGCGCCACCTTGTGGATAAATGAGGAAGTCAAGCAATAAACTAGATTAAAACTATACGGTTTTTAGGAGATGGGTATTATTAAAAGACAAAATTGTACAACTATTAAATCAAAAAGTTCATCCGATTCCCTGTTTTAGTATTTATTCACCGGCATTATAATTATTTGTCATAACATATAATGTTCTCCCGGACTACCCCACCTAACAGGAACCCATGAGAGGCTGCAGCCAGCCGAGGTGGCGCGACACCTTCTGGAAGATGTAGCCGTCGTTGCAGTCGGCCCCTGGCGGCAGGCTGACCACCCCAGTGAGGAAAAACACCTCCCTGTACACGGTGAGCAGGGGGCTGCCGGAGCTCATGGTGCAGTCAGCATTGCTCCGGGGAGTGGTGCAGCCCATTTTATTGGTCACCAGGTTGGGGTGAGTCTCCAGACACTGAGGCAGGCGGTTGTATGCGAGTTGGTTAAGGGTGAGAGGGCCCTGGAAAGCAGTTCCCTGAGTGGGTTCTTTCCAGCCGGTGACCATCGCTGGTAACGTCATCAGGACACTTTCTGCAAAGTCTTTTTCAGGCAGACAGGCAGCAGTCACCTCCCTCTTAAACATGATGCGGTCGCGGAGCTCAATCACAGCCAGGTCATTTTCGGGGCGACTTTCCACAAAGCGCGGGTGGACGTGAACTATTTTTACATACAGTGTCTGCTCTCCATCTTCATTGTTGGTGTTGCGCTTGCCTGAGGAGGTGCAGGTTAGACATGACATTCAGGATGATGGTGTTTCTCAAGATCATTCACGCATACGGACATGGAGAGCTGCAACGGTTAGTTGATCTATCGATTAGTCGATCAACGGCAACTATTTTGATGAATCAAATAATCGTTTCAGTAGTTTGGCAACAATGCCAAATAGTTTCTGGTTGAACTCTCTAAAATGTGAAGATTTAAAGCGTATCTGTGACTATGTGATATGAAACTGAATATTTGGACAAAACAAGACATTTAAGTCGCCACCTTTGGGCTCCAAGCAATGAAAACAGGTATGTTTCACTATTTTCTGACAATTTATATCAATAAATCCAACAATTGAGAAAATAATTAGCACATCGGTAGCAGTAAAAGTGGTAAAAGAATGATTATGTGTTTTGTCTACTCACCGACCACCACCTGGAAGGACTCGTATTTGTTGGCACACCGAGCTGAAGTCAAGACCAGGTTCTCCTTCAGAATGACGCCACTGCAGTAAGCTGCGGACTCTGAACTCTTCAGAACAGCCTGCAAACAACACCATTGGCATGCAGCAATAAGACGCTGGTTTGTTGGGCCCTGTTATGTGTCACAGTGTGAAAGTGTGTGTGTGTGTGTTCCTACCTGCCAGGGGCACTCTGAAGATAAACAGCTAAGTCCTATAAAGTTGCTGGCAACATTGCTGGACAGTCTTTTATCCCACTGCCCCAGGCTGTTCACCTTACCGCAAGGGAATGGGACTGAAAGAAGAATGTGAGATGGTTATAATAACTTTCTCTAGTTACATTATTTCTCTAATGGAAATCATATTTAGTCGTCTCTTTTTGCAGGCAAAATAACATCAACTTGTTTTTTGTTATGTATTGTAAACAGAGTTTTATTACTCAAAGAAAGAAAGAAAAAATGAATCAAAACAAAGATTGGCAGCCCGCTGGCTACCTGGATAGAGAACATGACAGTCATGAAATGCACAAACTGGGCTAGGCTCGTTCATCAGGCTCTGGTGCAGGACAACACTTCATGTTAGTTAGAAAAAAGGAGACTCGTGCAGGAAATAAAGTCTGTGGCTCTTGTGTTGTGTAGCAGGCTTACCTGCAGGCTCACACTTATCCCGGGCCGTGCGGCCGAGTTTCCATCCGCATGCGCAGGAGCACTCGTAGGACGTGTAGCCTGGTTTGCAGAACTGGGAGCACCCCTTGTCCTTCTCCAGGGTGCACAGAGTCTGGTCTGCATTGCGGAAACAGAGGAGAAAAGGTTGCGGCACTCACAAACCACATGAGAAGTAAATTAACACATGGCGATCACACACAACTTGCCGACACCTCCTCCTCCTCCTCCTCACCATTTTCACAATGGACCCCTGTGAAACCTGACTTGCAGACACAGTCGTAGCCTCCCACGCTGTCCGAACACATGGCTCCATTCTTGCAGGGATTCTCTGCACACTGGTCTCCGTCTAAACACAGACAGCTAGTCCATGAGAAGATGTAATGTACTGCTAATGGATGTGCGGTGATTGAAAAATGATTTTAAAACGCAGCACTTACCAATGTAGACAGCCCAGAAGATATCCTGCCGGAGAAAATATGCGTGATGAGTGCGCAGTTAAAGGTTATTTACACAGTGCATTCATGAAATAGAGACAGACTGGAATATAGACAAAGCAAAGAGAAGGCGGGGGTTTTGAGGTGAAAAAGAAATCACGAGGGAAGTTAACAGTGAAGTCCTGGAGCTCACCGTGCGGTACGAGTCCTGGAAGACATTTCTGGCCTCCTCGTAGCTGCACACTTTCTCCATGCAAACCTGCTCCAGGTTGGAAGTCGGAGCCGGGTTACTGCCGTCGATGTTCCTCTTCTGACGGGAGATCACCGAGCTCGCCTGCTGCTTCTCCAAGAACACTGGTGGAACAGTTAATGTCTCAGCTGGTTCATCCACAACAGACTGATCTACAGTTTGAAGCCGTTTTCCTACGAAGAGGCTCGAAGCTGTGGAGATCTTGTGTGAAACTAGTTTTGAAATAGTAGCATTGGAATATTTTTTTTTTATTGATAAATTCGGTTATCTTACTATTTGTTTGCTTATTTCTATTTATTAGCGTTAGAAAAAAACCATTAAATCTAAACTGGCTTTCTCTCTGGAACTGTCGATGGGCATACAGTGTATTCATATATTTTATCTTCCAAAGACAAAGATTTACAGCTGAAACTGTTGATGGACAGAATGGTGTAGTCCTCAGACTACACCATTGTCAAGCTCTGCAGACCCATCTGGCTCCACCTAGACTCTCTCTCACCTGTCTGGGGGGTCTGAACAGCTGCCATGGCCCCGGCAAGCAGACACAGCAGAGCGGCAGATGTGGTGTAGGAGCGCATGGTGACACTGAAGCGTGATCTGAGTCGAGTTGTCGGTGCAGCAGGGATCAATGTGTCCTACAAACAAGAAGAGCAGACCATAGACATGATGTACAGGATGATCGAGGAAAGAGACAATGAGATATAGAAGCCCATTATAGTGTGAGGACTGCCCAAGGTTCATTAAAACGCCATGAAATAACAATAACATCGTTTCAAACCTCCCAGCCACAAGGACAAAGTCCTTATTGTTACTGTGTTAGATTAGTTTAATAATTCATGAGAACAGTAAATGACCTCATGCTGTTTTAGCATCAGTGATTGTGCAGTTTCTCTGCAGCAGCTCATCGTTGCACTGCTGCCATATTGATGGGCCTCACAGACTTTCTGTTTACATTGTTAACGAACACTGGAGGCATCTTACATCTAATCTAATTTACGTTTTCAGCACCGACAGCCAGATCAACAAAGGACAATGCATTTATTTTACGTTAGAGAGCCTACGCTTTCTATCTGCGTAGATCTTTACCAGCCTGGTAGCATTTAGCTCAGGTGGAGTACAATCACAGAGAAGGAGCCAGAACAACTGGAACGCATCTGTGCTGCAGACATGTGCTGCTTTTCTACAAACTGCTTCAATTTTACAGCAACAAACATATTTAAATATTTACACATCCGTCTGTTTTCAGGGCGGGTCCAACATGTCTCTGAGTAACGGTACAAAACAACAACAACAACAGCAGCAGCAGCAGCAGTGATGCTCGGTACCTACAGCTACGGACTGAATCAAGGTACCGGCCCGGTCTGGTCCTTCTCTTTGCCCGCTGGTCCCGAATCACCACACAAGGTCCTGCACGGATTGGGCCTATCGATACAAAATAACAGATGATGACCACATCCGATTCTGCTCACTGTTTTCTGACTCCGCTCGGTGTAATGACAAAGAGGGGCCACCGGAGGGCGCTGTAAGACAGAGCTGACTGTCGCTGTGCAGCGCAGTGTGTTGTCCACGGCTGTCCTGCAGGACACAGACGCACCGAGAGACACAGGGACACCTTTGCTTGAGCAGACAGATGACAGTTGAGTTTAAAGCACTTCAGTATAAGATAAGATATGATTAAAAAAAGATGATGCTACAAGAAAATGTCTGTGGCCAAGATGCCCAGTACATAATATAATATATTTAAAACAAATACATAGTAAATAACAACATGCATACATAATAGACTATATAAAATAGAAATCATGTACATTTGTTACTTTTCTTCTTCCTATGAATCATCTCATTGCTCCCTAGATGTATCTTGTTAACCTTTGGAGGGACATGGACACCTTGAAGGATCTGAATTCTTCTGGATTTGTAGTTTCAAGTCCTTTTCATTTTGCCAGAAGGAAGAGCACATTATTGACATCCTCAATGCAGTTGGGATCAGGACCGTCAAAGGAAAGATACATTTGAGAGACAAAAATTAAAGAGATAAAAAGATGTGGGACTCAGTTTTTGCATTTTTCTTGTGAAATGTGGATATTTTCACCTCTTCAGGCATCTAAAAATCCTTCTAATAAAACAATATGAGAAGGAAAAATCCTTCCTTGGTTGAACTGCTCATGACTTACGTCCACATAAAAACCTTTGATGAGGAGTTACAAGGTAAAGAGTGCAGTATTAGTTTGGAAGCTTCTTCATTTAAACCTGGGTTTAGCATGTTTTCGTGCATGTTTGGGCAGAAATATGTGCATATTTTCCTTAACAAACAGTGCTAAATGATACACCAATGTGTATGTACACATGCATTCAAAATAAGATTTTAGACCATACCACGATTCTCCTCAGCAGTGTGATCAGAATCAGGAACTCCTGATGTGCACATTGATCAAACAAAAGGGGATGCTATCTGCTGTGATCAATAGCTTAAGCTTAACTGCAAACAAACACACACGGGTCTGGACACAAGCGACTAGATTGGGGTTCTACACAATCAGCTAAAGCAGACAAGTGAAAATCAAAGTGGACAGGAGGCTTTTACAGGAAGGCTGTTACGTTTTCTGCACAATGAAGGACAGTTTTATATCTCATATCTATAACCAAAAAAAGGCTTTATAAAACCATTTAACTCACTCGAGTGGAGTTATGAGCCAGTATTTAGAGTTATTGCATCCTTAATGTCAAACTTTGTGATTATCAATTCGTCAGGTTTCAGAGCAGCTGAAACCATCAAGGCCTTGCTTTCCAAACACAAAGTCCCTCCTCAGTGGCCTTGTTTCAATGGGATTGTTTGTGAGAGCAATGTAATTTGCAGACAGGGCCGTGGGGCTTTAGTCTCAGCTCCAGCCCTGTTAAACGTCTCCATTTGCCAAGTCTAATAACGTCGGTATTAGAAGAGCCTGCTCGGACCAGCTGGTCCCCAGTGCTGGACAGGGGCAGGAACTGGACTGCCCAGTCCAGGGAGACTCACCCTGGGGTGGGGGGAGCAGATGGAAAACCAGCCCCGACATGCAGAGCTGCAGCTATGTGTAAATGATTAGGATTGTAGTAATTTCCCTAGTGATTGTGGTCTAAGGTGACATGCAAAGTTGTTGTTGATTACATGCACATGTTCATACATATAATAATTTGTTGACTGTATGGGGGAGATCATGCACTGTGTTTGCATACACTGGAGTGTATTGTCTCCCTCTCTCTCCCCCTCTCCCCATTCCTCTCATTATTCTTTCAGCGCTCACGTGTGACCTCAAGGACCCATTCCTCTTCAAATCCCGGGTTCAATTTTACAGGCACGCTGAACAAACAGCCATCACAGGAGGCATGTATTAATGTCACCTGCTACAGGCTGGAGATGAAATCCCCCGTGATGTTGGAATCTCGATTATTCTCCTCATTACCTCTTCAGCTTTTCTTTTTCACTTTTTTTTTTTTTTTTTTTGGCAACGGAAGTGACGTTTTGCCCCAGACATCCAGACGTGTTAGCAAGCTTTATACATTGAATTAAAACTGTTAACATCATCAAAATGTCTGGTTGTTGCATGTTCGGTTGTCAGAATCAACACTCCAACAGCAGTCTCAAGTTGTACAGAATTCTTGCAGGATCACAACAACAGGTGTGTCAGTGTAACAGGTGACCGTGTTAACTGGTGGCTTTGCTTAAAATTGATTGAAGGCTTTTAAGAGGACACCTACATGCTCCATTTGTGTTTTCAACAGCTGCCCTCACTATGAGTAACCAAAGACGCATTCGGCTGAGAGTCACCAGGTAACACGGTTACTCGTTAAACCGAGACACCGGCTGTGGCTGCAAGCTTTTTAACTACTTGACTACCACTGATCAAAAATGCCTAATAGTACACATAACTGGAAAGTCAATTTGTTTAGGTTGCATTCGCGATCTTTGGTGGTTGATGCCCTTGTTGACAAGTTATTGCCCTCCACCGTATTTCCGTTGCCAACTTTTACTGTGCTCCAGATATTCAGAGACTCTCATATGCAAGCATCACATACCGTAAATCGTGAGATTGCAAAGCCACATAGATCAGCTTTGTTCTGCTTAGCCGCTAGCCGTGAATGTCAACATTTAAACGACAAACATTTCTGTGGCGTTTGAGGCAATAACACAAGTTTGGTTTTGCGCGTTTGTGCATGTCCGCATTTGATTGTTCAGTTTGGTGAGGACGTGACAGTGTGAGGTCCCCAGACAATGTGTGTGATGATAATGTGATGGGTTGATAACACGCACACACACACACACACACACACACACACACAGTGTTGCTGCAGGGAGCAATGAGGTCAGGTGGAGGTACACAACCAACAATAGCCTACATGACAACCATCACCTGCCCTGGTTTGGTTTTCAGAGTCTCACCACATCACACATGTACAGTATCTGTTGTCCTGTGTTGAATCCAACAGCAAACAACAACCCGCACACAACACAATCACGCCTATATCAAAGCGCCAGAAGATTGCGTGTAATCGAGTTTGTGCGACAAGGACCAATGATGATGTTGTATTAAGTACTGGAGAGCAAGCACACACTACCGCTGTGGGGGTTTTTCACAGCTATGTTAGCTACTCTTGAAGAATCGCCTTCCCCTGTCCCACATTTCTCCGTGATCAATTCACGTCAGCTGGCCATATTTTATTTAACACTTAATCGCAGCGCTCCTCTCCCTGCGTCCCCCGCGGCTCATTTGTTGACGTGTAGCAGAAAAAGAATTAAGAGCACGTGATTGCTCCTTTACAATCTTCACACCTACCCTCAGTCCTTCACACTTCCTTTGACTTCACCGCATCTGATTCAAGTGGCATTCAGCAGAAACAGGTCTGCCATTATTGGACTGTTTCTGAAATTAATTCATCCTTTCACATGGTGCCCTCCATCTGATGGGTGGAGGATACTCAAGATGCCATAATTGAAGCACTAAGCAGCTTTTAAGATGGTCCGGATCCTCTTTTGTGATCCCCTGCTTTGTGACTCATGAGTTTCCCCCCACGAAAACCTCTTTCTTTGTGTAAAACTCTTTAATCTCGTCTGCCCTCAGGTCCTTGTCGCAGCCACATGCGCTGCCTTTTAAATTATATACTGTATCTCACTCAGACAGCGGAGCCGAGCGTGGTTGCGTTTCCTCAGACCTGTGGAGAGGTGGCGTAGGCCTTGATTGTGCTGAAGATGCACAGAGAGATCAGAAACACAGCTGACAGCACACCAAAAGAAAATGATGTTTCACTGGTCCATACTCATGCCAAAGCTGCATAGTACTTTCTGCACAGGCCCAGAGGAGTCTGCAAATCATTGATAAGATTAATGACTACTATACAGCCACAATTCTGACCACATACATAAAAAACCATAAATGTGAGAGCTGAGAAAAACACCTCAGTGGGTTGGGAGTATGAGATGTGGTTGTAAATCAATGGTGGAAGACGTTTCACTTGATTAAAAATAGAAATACAACAGTAAAATAGTAAATAACAAGTAAAAGTCCTGTATTCAATTAATGATACAAGTTTTATCAGCAAAATGTAATAAATAATCAAAGTTAAAAGTGCTCACAATGCAGATTTCTTTTTGATAATTACTAAATAACTATTATTATTATTAGGCTACTACCGTTGAAATAATGTCTGAGCGGCATTTTAATGTTATAGTCAGTGGAGGTGAAGCACATTTTCAAACTGTCCGGCAGATCCGGTATAACTTGTTATATGTTGAATATATAGTCGAGAGGTACCATTTAAATAAATGGTTCTAGAAAACTTACCAAAAAATTTCATCCAGTTTTTGAGGGATGGATGTTTTTTCTGCTGTTAGCTGCTCCAACAACAAACTGAGACTTTGAAAAAATAAACGTTAAAAAAATTAATCAATTTCACTTTCCTAAATCGACATCATTATTAAATTGTCATGTTTTGATGACGTTCTGAGCGGCTAGCTGGCACGATACCGACCCTAAACCAATAAGAGACAACAATCTGCTGACACAGGCCGATGGTGAGTTGCTAACTAACAAGTAATTTCCAGACTTCATTTTGGATTCTGTCATTGTTTTGTTTGTTCTGTAGACTATCAAGAGCCAATTAATAAACAGCTCCCACAGCTCCTCTCCAGCATTGTATTCCCCAGAGGTTTTCAGCTATCGCCTGGTGAAAGCAATGTTCTGTTTCTGAAAATGTTTGGGGAAAAACAGTTAATTAATTCAATTTTGAATGACTTGCATCGGTCACGCTTACGTTCACAATGGTCTGCACATTTCTGTGCATTCATATCAGAAATCCCATTTATTTTCTACACTAAACAACTAATGGATGTATTGTGAAAATGGGCAAATTCATCTGTTGCGACCCTGATGAACCAGAGACTGGAGTGTTTCTTAAGAAGGAATACTTGCATTTTTCATTATCAGCCTTTATCTCATTAGCAGTTCACACTGCATGGCAAATTAGATTGAGCAGCCACTACCAACCCCTACTCCCACACAGTCAGTCACATACGCACACACCTATACACACGTCCATATCACATGTCATGTATTTATACTGTATGTAACGTTTATGATATGCAAATAGGATTGTAGGTACATGTTTGGATTCTGCTTGTGCACTCATTTGTGGATAAATGGTCAAAGTTACTTAATATGGACTAAAGAGATGTGCAATAACGAGACACATTGAGAATATGACATTGCAAACACTCTCTATCCTTTTCGACTTAACCCTCCATTTATCTTTTCTCATCAGCCTCAAACTGCCCTCAAACTGGAACTCCTCTCTTTCTGTCTGAGCATCCCTCAGCCTCCCGCCTCCACCCTCAGCCTCCGTCTCTCTCCCTCACTTTCTGCTCTCTGGCGTGCCTTTGCTCTCCATCTACCTTCCTCCTGCTTTCCTTCTTTCCCTCCCTCTCTCCTCCTCCTCCTCCTCCTCCCGCTGCGCTCTCGACTCGCTCTCATTCCCCCTCGCTCACACACTCAGGCAGCATCCTCCCCTCTCCATTTCTACCTTCATACTCACCTCTTCACGCCTCTCCTCTCCGCTCCTCTCGCCTCCTTCCTCACCATCACCTACTAACACATATCATCTCTCGCAACTCCCCGTCTGTTGTCTCCCTCCACTCTCGCCTCCATTTCTCCCTCCTTCTCACACACTCAACCTTGTTGCCTCGCGCAAACTCGTGCACACACTCATGCTGATTGGCACCCAAGGACAGAGCACCCTCTCTCCTGTACCGGCGACCAGGCGATTTGCTCGTGTGGCCAGACTTCTTGACACTGAGCTCAGCTGAGGAAGAGGACGAGGAAGAGGCCATGGAGCACAGCCACATCTTCCCTGTTTTCTCCCCAAATGGGAGCACCTGGAGCCCAGGGCAGCATCCCACTGAGTTTGCCCAGGGATGCCCTCTCGGACCACTGCCTGTCATCTACTACAGTGTCCTGCTCTGTCTCGGCCTTCCAGGTAAGAAACGTGCACACACAACTGTGTGTTTTTGAGTGCATGTCTAATCACAGGCATGTCTCATTCTGTGTTAATTTGCTCATCTGTGGGTTGCAGGAGTCATGCTTTGCATCTTGATTTGTTGTGCACTTGTCTGTAGGTTTGAATGAGTGTGTCAGCTGCTCCAGAGTGCCACTCTTTGCACACGCACACACACACACACACACACACACACACACACACTGTTGATTTGTCATTCTGACCTTGTGGCAAATGACTTGTGCATGCGTACGTACATCGTATGCTTTTGTCTGTGCTTGTTCCGGTCTGTTTGGAGTTTGTTTGTACATCCGTCTCTTTAGTTGGACATATTCAAGCATTTCAACAAAAGAGGGAAACCGGCAGCTGTATGTGCAGAGCATCATTAAATACGGCTATTAAGATGTGAAACTGCACCTTAATCTGGAGTCGTTTATGTGTGAATGAAAGATTATGTAAGTAATGACTCAGGCTTGACCTCGGGTACAAGTGTGTGTTACATGACTTGTCTTAATGACCTGAATTTATGACACTTCCTTGTTGCGTCTTTGCCATTGACTGATTAGTCCGTTCACACTCACTGTCGGACCCATTTACCGCCTCTCTCCCTGCTGCGTGATCTATGAGCGCTGACCTAGTCTCACACGGGGAAGCAAAGTGGTGTGTGCATGTATATGTGCGATTATGAATGTGTGTCTGTGAGAGGGACAGACAGAGACAGGAAACATGGAGGTCGAATGAAAGAGAAAAGGTGTGGATGCCTAATCAGAAGGTTGGGTTTCAGATGTTAAAAATCCCTCTGGATGGTCAGATACACGTCCGCTCTGCTTCAGCCTATCACCAAAACGCTGGAAACGTGGTCAAGTAACATAAAGGTTAATTCATGTGTTTCACAATTTAACCCTGATTCTGATGAGTACAATCGGTGGCTTTTCTTGTCTTAATACACAAGATTCAAATATATTTTTCTAGATAAAGATTGGGAGTGAGATGTTATCAACAACCTAAGCTCTTCTGGTTGTTTAAACAAGTGAAAAGCTTTTGTACGCCAATACTGCAGTTGCTCCACAAGATGTGCAGCCTTGTAAAAGTAAAAGTCTTTCTTTCTGATAGAATCCCACCTAATTATTTTTCCTGGATTGGCAATTCAAGTCTTGCACAAGCAAATTCTCTCTTCTGTCATTTCAAGTTTCTCCTGCTTCAGAAGATTGATCAATTATGTTCCTGAGTCGTCTTTACAAATGTGATCGAGGCTGTTTGTTTAATCACCGAGTAACAATAACCCGGGATTGTAATGCAATCTTACAATGGCTGTCTGAATTAATGGCAGAGTCGAGTGCGGCGGACTGATACTTTGCAGCAGCCGAGATTAACTTATTCAATCTTTATGACGTTCCACTCAGGCTGAATCGTGAATCTTTCATGAGAGCGGCACGCGTGAGTAGTAGCGGCATGACCTACAGACCCACGCGGATTTAACACTCTCGATGGATGTGAGGTCGTTACCTTGATTACCGGCCAGTGTTTCGGTAGTTAGTTAACAGCAACAGGGCTTCAGGGAGACGTCGTCATCATGTCCGTACATTTCCCGACCTTTAAGCAGCAGACAGAGAGGGGTCACATCAAAAACACAGATTTGGAGATGAAAAGCAAGATGATGGAAGGTGATGGATTACACACACATCAAGTGGTGGGAAATGATTAACCCAAATCTCGGGATGAACAGTATGGAGTATAAGGGAGACAAGGACACCCAGAAGAGGAAGAGCAGAATTAAGAGAAAGAGATGAATAGTAGCAGAGCCAGTCAAGTAGCACCCCTGAGCCATGCATTGGGGGGCAGCTACAGACGACGGAGCTGAGACGAATTGCCACATTTTTAATTAATCGCTAACTCTCTCTCTTTCTCTCTCTGCTCACCACACCACATTGCTTGAGACAGAACAGACGTGTGCTGGCATAGCAAACAGCACAATGAAGGTTTTGGTGCTTAGCCTCAGTCTTTGACATGCTGGGATTGCAGAAGTGAGGCCCGCTCTTCGTACAGTATACCATGACACATGCTGTGTGACATAACGGGATGTTCAAGTGAAGCTGCTCTGAATATCTGGGCCGAGACAGCTGCTTGCATGCACCTATTCCTTCAAATTAAACATTTCTCTACACAATCCGTTCTTTTCGACAGGGTTTGTAGGCTTTTTACCTGCACACATTTCAAACCCTACCTGCAGCTGTTATTCAACTCCAGATAACGGTTGATGTCTGAATTTTGCCTCAAGAGGCCTGTATTCAAATGATTTGCAAATGTGTTCATGTTGATAAAATGTCTCTGCAGCAGAGCGCAAAACCACTAAGAGGATTCAATTTAAATCTATTGCATTCTATTTAATAATTCTACATTTGTAATTATTATTTAATTAGTCATCAGGGTCTCAAGACATTTTTACCAAAACTTGCATCATGTTGATCAAGTTCATCACCACACCAGCAAGGATGTTTTCTTTGACATAACATGACTACAATTTATATTTCCATCAAATACACATTTGATGTTACACCTCAGTACTGTAAGTATGCACATGTTTTGTTGTATTTGCTTTGTTTCTTTCAAGTGCTGTGTCAAACTATATTTAAGCAGTAATGTAGATTTGAGGGATTTAAGATGGCCAGCCTATGTAATGTAATGTAATGGCCTAAATTACCATGGTAGAACAATAATTCAGATTATTTACTTTATATAAAATTATTATATATTTTTTGGGCAAAATCATAATCAGTAGATCAGTAGATATAACAGTATTAGAGGTAGAATGAAGCACAAAACGGAAACACTAAAGTTCAAGTATTCAAGCAAGGAATTTCATTTAACCCTGGAGAGAGTTAGACTGTCGTAACAATAAAAACAAGAGCAATAATTAACACGATAATAACAATAAAAACTACTACAAAGAGACACAAAATCAACGATAATCAAAATAACTACACAAGGACGCAGCAAAAATAGGCTAAAGAACTACGTATAAAGTCTGTGAGTCTTGCTCCTGTGTAGGAGAGGTGGTGGGACCTCTTGCATGTCTGTGCTCAGGGGCCCATTGTCTCAGAATTCGCTCAAGGTTGAATACGTGACAACAAGTGGTCGTATGGAGTTGAGATGTGTGAACATTGTGTGAGCAGAAATGTGTCTGCGTCCCTCCTCCACCTTGAACATGCATGAACTCACATCACTCCACAGTATGCCGGTGCGTTCCTTCCCTCTTCCTTGTGTGGCTGTTCAACAGGCAGCCGTGTGAATGGCCCACATGAGAGTTGAAAAACATCTCCCACTCCCACTTATCCACCCACAAGACAGGGAAAAGGTTGGGGATGTTAAAGCGCCAACAATTCTCTGTTCCTCGTGGCAGTGTAGACCAGGTGTCAGATGCCACTTAATGAAGAGGCGGGCCCAAGTGATTTGCTGTTTGCACTATTGATCTGTCAATCTGCAACAGCAACAGGGCGTCTGTGGTGGAATGGGGGTTTATTAACAGATACCATCACTCCAAAAGTGGAGTTTAAGATGAGTGGGTGTAAACAGGAAGAAGAGGAAAGGATGTGATAAGCATGTGTTGAAGCATGGACAGTGGGGAAAAGATAGCAAATATTAAGTAAATCAAATGTAAGACATTTCTGAGCTCTGGTTTGTCTCCAGAACAAAGAGTGTGTCAGCTTGTCATGGGGGAGACGAGCCAGAGAGGGCGCGGGAGGACAGAGGAGGCAAGAGAGGAAGGAGGTTTTGTTTGAGGCAGTAAATCAGAGATGTTGTTGGTGCAGTGACAGAGTTGACTTTATTTGACCAGCTGACAACAAAACGCCGTCACCACTGCTGAAAACCCAAATCCCTGTGTTGTTGGACATGTTTTGGACAGCAGTAATACATCAATCTGAGGAGAATTATAGGTCTTCCCATCTCTTCTCTGCATTTAATTCTCTCCTCCACCCTCCATCTCAAACAAAATTTCACCATTCATGTTTTTTTTTTTCAAAGCTGAAACACCATAAAAAACATTTAGAGAAGATCGAAGATCACATTATAAGCGTGAGCCTTGTTTATGAACCCTTTAAACACAATAAGCGGAGTTTGTCAGTCTGCAGCGTCTCATTACTGGCAGCACGGTTAGCTGTGGTGTAAGGACAGTCATCTCCTTACATCTTTAAAATGAATTGCTGTAAGAGGTGAGCAGAGGAAGAGCACTGCAGTAGCATCAATATCATTAGCAGCAACCAGGGCCTCTCTCTCTTAATACGCCATATTCTTTATTGCATCTTTCTTTTTCTTATGAGCTCCCTCTACCTTTCCTCATTAACTCTCAGACCGCACACATAAAGCTGATGCTCACAGTAAAATGTGTTGGATTGATATTATCACATTTTCATAGCATGACAAGCCAGCTTCTCAGTGCAAATTAATAGTGATAATAAGGATTTCAATTCATGAACAAATCTGGGGTTTTCTCTTCATCTTAAACAGCTTTAAAACATGTCCCTAAAATCATAATTTTATCTTCAATGCATGTTTTTTTTATTGGCTTTGCAGCAGGGATGTGGTCCTGGTTTTCGTTTAGGGGAATTAAGGAATCGCCCTGCTTTATGTCCGGTCTGACACTTCGAGAAGACAAAAGGGAAATGGTTGTCATCAGGAACAAAGTGCTTGTGACCTTTGAAGCGAGCTTTGCTATTCACCCCCTCTCTGTCTCTCGCCTCTCTCCCTTTCCTCCCACCTCCTCTATACATCTCTCTGCCTCATTCTGTGTTTCCATGTAATCCTCCCCTCCGTTCTCTCTCTTTTTTAACTATCTGTGACCTTCCTCACACCACACTTTACTTCACCTTCCATCTATTTCCTCATTCCTCTCTTCTCCCCTCATCTCGTCTTATTAGCCTCTGGATAAGCCGTCAAAGCCAAACCAAATGACAAAAAAGAAAACCATAGTGTGCAGCATCTCATGTCTTGCCACCGGTTTTGAGGGGTTAAGATGCACAGTATCATTTGTCGACAGCCCATCTGAACACGTCCCTTTAGTGGTGGGATGAGTCAGCCTCGTTACACACCTCGGGGAGCATGCTGTGCCTTCTCTTTTCCCACTAAACAACGTCAATGGCCCTGTCCCTCGTCATATTAGGGGAGCAGCAGGGGGAGTGCACACACAAAAGCACTCCCACACAAACAGAGAGGGTCACCCATGCAAACACACATACACAAATGTAGACAGACGGACAAACACACAGCCGCCCATTATCCTTCCTACAGGTCATTCTAATCCCCTCTCAGCTGGAGACACTTATTTTTCCCTGCAAAACAAAAAAAAAGAAGATGGTGACACATTGCATGTGCCTCTGTGTCCGGGCATGAGATGCACGTCTCTCTATATGTGCACGGATGCCTCTTTGTGTGCGCTGTCCTCAAGTCTCTGTTCTGTGTGTGCACGGATGTGCAGCTTTCTCCCCTCCCTGGGTCCCGAGACAACGTAAAGAACAGGAGTCAATTGAATTGAATGGACAACAAGCTGGCTCAAGCTAAATGGAAATGTCAAGCTCGCTACGGATCCCTTTTGTTTGTCTGTAGAAGGCCCCGTCTCTCCGGGGAGCCCAAACAGAATAATACCCAGTGACCAGCCTTACTGCTTCCATTTCATGTCACCCCCCTCTGTTTAGCGGTCAGCGAAAAGAGAAGAGAGAAAGTGAGGGGATTGAAGGGGAAAAGGTACAATAGAGAGTGAGGCTATGGATTAAAGGCGATGTGCATTGTGCAGGGTTTGCAACGGGCCTCCACCGTGAAGTTTATGAGCAGCTCAGAGCTTAGCAGCAAACCTTTCCTGATACAAAAAAACACAAACACTGATAAGATCATATGGATAAACCAGATGACAGTCTGCAGGTGTGTGTACAGTACACACCGACAGCTGTGAGAGGATGGTGTATAGGAAACAACACATACAAAGAGTCAGCATGACTGCAACAAGCAGTAGGCCAAAAACAATTAACATGAAATCAAGATCAAAAGATGAGCAACAGTTTTTAGACAAAAAACAGTTTCAGTTACGATTTAGCGATGCACTGCTATAACATGGTCAGAATCCTGATGGATACATGTGTCTTCAATTTCAAAACCTGGCTTCTACATTTCCCACAATGCACCTCAACCACCAACAGTTTTGTCGGAGATTCGGGTGTGTTAAGCTAGTAGCGCCTAATGTAGCATTGAGTCGCTAAACTCAAGCAGAGATGAGGAGCTGGCTACAGAGGTCTGGTAAACTCACTTCTTTCTAACTTCACGATCCAGCATTTTCAAACTTAAGGCTTATTTAACTTTTGTTGTACCAAAGACCCATCAACAGACTTTAATATGTAAAATCGGTGAAGTTTCCCTTTATCTTTCTTTTATTGCCAAAGTTTGGTCTAACCAATATATATTGATACCCGTCATCTGATCTTGAAACGTACACTGTGAACATAGTGACATTAATATCGCTTCATTGAAATTACCACATTTTGACCCCAGTCTGCACAAATATTTCAAATACAAAATCAGTCCACGGTTAACCTCAAATTAAATGTATTGTGGATTAAATTGCTTCGATCTGAAAAAACAGACCACCAGAACAGAAGAAGAAACGGACAGAAACGAGCTGAAAACAGAGAATCAATGACACAGACGACCAAGATTCGACATGAAAGCAATTTAACTTGCCTGTGCAGAGGTTGGTGTGGTGTACAGGCGAGGAGGGCTGTGAATGTGGGGCGTGTGGTGCAATCCAGCAGCCCTACATGAACACATAGGCTTGTCGAGTCTTGTAAACTGCTTTGACGTCTCATTTATGTTATTGATAGATTGTATACGTTAATGTATTGGCGCATCGCTAATGTTGTTTCTGTGCATGTGTTAATATTTCTGTGTGTCTGTGTTCTGCTGCACATCCTCCAGTCTGGCAAGGACATCTTTAGTCATTATCTGGAGCCGGCTTTGAAATCTGTAATCAGCTGACAGTGGTTGAGGCTGTGAAGTGTGATGTACCAGACTCCTAGCTGCCACACTTAATCCAATCCAAAATCTATTACTGCAGAGGGGGACAGGACTACAGAACACATGCACACGCACACACACACACACACACACACACACACTGTATGGGCAGTGACAGCTGCTAAGTGCATTGATGTCTCAGAGATGCTGTGATGTAAATCGATGTCAGAGACATCTTTGTCCGAGGAAACAGATCGGACAAGTCTTCATGCTGCACCAGCAAGTTACACTAAATGGGGTTGGTTGGCAACAGTAAAAGATTAACAGATTAATGTGTGTATTTGATTTTTAGTTCAGGTAATTTAACTAATACAGCATGAAATAGGAATCTTTGGATACATTGGAAAAGTATTGATTTTCGCCACTGAATTTTACACTTGTCACACATGTATTGAATGTTCTTAATGTGCAATGTGCTAACCAATGTCTCCTTCAAGGAATATAAATGCAAATACTATATAAGAGGCTTTTCCAGGATTAATATCATATGAAAATAGGTTGATAGTCCTGCGAATGGTTTCATGCTATTCCACTGGTGCAAAGTTGGAAACAGTAAAAAAAAAGTTGCACTGCACCAAAAAAAATGCAAAGAAGACTGCTAGCAAGGTTTGAAATTCCTAGAAACAGAAATTGTCTCTGTTTATGAGGGAAATACATTCATTAGGTTTGCTGGAACTCAAGAATACACACAATCCCTGCATTTCAATACCCATACTATATACATATAGTATGTCAAATGCAATACACGAAAAATTACTGGATGTCCTGTATGCAGTATGTAAGCAAGCATCCTTTTCTGGCTATTCTTAAGATATTTGAGCAAAGGTAAATGCGCTATGTTATGAAGAAGTAATGTCTTAATTGAATGCATACTGCATGCAACAGTCCTTTGTAAGGGCAGCTGCAGTATGTACTAAAAATAAAAATGAAAAGTATGCGACATGTAATGTCATAAAAACAATCTTGTTGTACACGTGTTTTTTCTTAAACTATTTTAATGAAACTTTTTTCAGGTCATGAAGTATAAGTTAATCATTCAAATGATCTTAAACTATGATAAATTATCAAATTATCTAAAAACATAAATTCCCTCAGGAGTTCTCTGTGCCGATGATGACAGTAATTAATTTCACTGATTTTATTCTTTTTACATCCTAACAACACTACAGTGTGAGCACAGCCAGCATCTTGTTCACAGTCTTCTCCAAGTTTGAGAAAGCTCACAACCTGAAAACTCAACTGTCTATTGATGGGAATCCCCTGAGAATAATATGCAGTAATATACCAGAATAGGACAAAAATTTTAAAAAAGACGTGAAATGAGCCCCTTCAATACAATCACCAAACTGCAGTTCCCCCTGAGAGGCAGAGAGCTGTGCTCCTCCTGTCTGGAGCAGACGCACAGAGGTCATGCTTTGGTAGACGTGGCAGTGGAATAAATCACATCCAGGCCTTTGTGTCCACGTTCCTTTTTTAGCGAAAAATTGAGAGTAGCTGTCTCCCCTCCTGGGCTAGTCAGCTGTCCTGTTTGTGAAAGAAAGTGATGGAGTTGGAATAAATGAACGAGAAGGTGGCGAGGGAAACGCTATTTTGGCAACATGGGAGAGAAGGTATGACGGTATACGTTGGGAATTTGGAGTAGAGATTGAAACGAGAGGGAGAGATGGGGTCGTCCTTGTGCTTTGATTTAGGAACTAAATTGCCAGCTGCAGAGTAGCAAGCAGTAGTGAAATCAGCAGACTGCCAACGGTGTGATGCTGCACGTTGCCCTCCTGTTTTTGTTGTGGCTTTACTCTTTATTAAAGATAACAATTTTAGCCAAAGGCAGCGGCAGATGCTGCTGGAATTACACAGCAGGTGTAGATGAAGAGGGGAAGGGAAGGGAGCAATAAACAGAGGAAGGATTACACCGAGGGAGAGCTGGTTGAACGTGGTGCATACTGACTGGGGACGATAACAGATTCCATAATGTGTGCTTGGTGCTGTTGATGGTGCTGAAAATCTTCAACATAATGCAAGTATTGTTTTGTTCTAATCTTTGTGTATCGTGCGTTTGTGTTAGAGCAGTCACTCTTTCGTGTTGGCTGCACCTACAGTACAAATCTGCTGCATTATGTTTCTTGTGTCTTTTCCACTGCCTGCCCACTAACACTCAATTTTTCTGTTTCCTTCCCTGTCCCAACCTGTGCCCAATCTCATCATACGTTTTCCTTTGTCATCATTTCCCCATTTCCTCCATCTTTCCGCTTTCAATCAACTTCCCTCACCCCGACCCCCCCCCTCCTTCCTCCTCCCAGCTAACATCCTGACTGTGGTCATCCTGTCCCAGCTGGTGCTGCGTCGTCAGAAGTCCTCCTACAACTATCTCCTGGCTCTGGCAGCCGCCGACATCCTGGTCCTGCTCCTCATTGTTTTTGTCGACTTCATATTGGAGGATTTTATTTTGGGTACGGCGCTGCCTCCGTCACTAAACAACGCAGTGCAGGTACTGGAGTTCTCCTCCATCCACACCTCCATCTGGATCACCGTGCCTCTCACCGTTGACCGCTACATCGCTGTGTGCCACCCGCTGCGCTACCATACAGTCTCCTTCCCGGCCCGCACACGAAAGGTGATATTTGCCGTGTATATTGGGTGCTTGCTGTCTGCAGCTCCTTATTACTGGTGGCCTGAGTTGTGGCACAGCCTGCCTGGGGTGGGCAGTGGTGGAGGAGGAGAAGGAGAAGGAGGAGGAGGAGAGGAGGGCAACAGGAGAACCGTGGCCCAGCATGTCCTGGTGTGGGCCCACTGCGCCACTGTCTACCTCCTCCCCTGCATGGTCTTCTTCTCCCTCAACGCTGTCATTGTTCGTAAGCTGCGCAGACGCCGCAGCTGCTTCCGTCTGCGCGGCTACTCTACTGGCAAGACCACCGCCATTCTCCTCGCCATTACCTCCATTTTCGCAGTTTTGTGGGCGCCACGTACCCTCATGATCCTCTACCACTTCTACTCATCTCCTCCAGCCTCACAAGGTGCCGGCCGACTGCTCCACGTGCTCACTGATCTGGCGAACATGCTAGCGTTGCTCAACACTGGGGTCAACTTCTTCCTCTACTGCTTCATCAGCAAGCGTTTCCGGGGCATGGCGGCCAACGTCCTGCGAGCGTTGGTCCACTGCCGGAAGCAGCCACAGCCGTTCTATGCCAGCCACAACTTTTCCATCACAAGCAGCCCCTGGATCTCACCAGCCAACTCCCACTGCATCAAGATGTTGGTGTACCAGTATGACAAAAATGGGAAACCCATCTGTATTTCCTCTTGAGTCCTCAGCCACCAGCAGCCGCCCTCCCCCCCAACCTTCAGTTGTTGGGGAACACATTGTCTCCTTGGTGACCAGCTTACCCGCATGGGACTCTTTGAGGCTTGAAAATGTCAACACGCCTGGAGAGCACACAAGGGACTGTTGAGCTAGCTTTGAGCGCTAACAAAGTGGTTGGCTAGCAAGGTGGAAAAGCAAACAGTATCCACAAAGCAGCGACCAGCTTCAAAAAGATGTTGATTGTTTCCCTCATGCAAAAAAAAATAGAGCTACTGTAAGTGACTGCTGACTGACAGGATATCATCGCCATCTATCAATGACTTTTATGAGCCACAGCGCTACAGACTAAACTAGTAGATGAATCCTTGGCGAAGCTTCAAATGCCTGACATTGATTTCTTTATCGAGGCTCTCTGTTGCTCACTGCCACAAACGGTGAGGATTTTTGAACAGCTGCGTCTTTGTCCGTTGGTAGTCATTTTCCAGAAAGCAGAGACATCCAGTCAGAGTTTGGGCACTGAACATCTCACCTCGAGGGGTGATTCACTCAGGCAGAGCCACTGACGGTTCTCTCAAGCGATGCTAAAACAGCGCTGTCATTTACAGTTCAATATGCAGAAACGTCTCAAAAGGCATTTGGATTTGGGCTTTCCTAAAATGAACAGACTTCTTGAACAGTCTGACTTTTCTTGTGTGTGTGTGCCAAGTTCACCCTGGCGCTCAAATCGGCGCTCGCTATGGAAGTCAACCCACAGATTGTCTTAGGATGAGTAGGCTATCTCTGCTTATTGTTGGTTGACTATGTATTAATGGTAGACTTGACTGTTATTGTAGCTTCACAAAAATATAAGACAAAAAACATAATGGCTCTAAGGTGTCGTTGATCTAGTAATCACATTTCCAATATTAGGTAGAGGAAATTTCTGCTATTAGTAGATAGTCCTCTATTAACTATTAATGGTATTTGATGACTTGTTAGCCATTATCTGGATGGATATAATGAATGTAACGTGTCTTTAACCCTTTAGCTTTCTGAGCGACTGAGAGAAAAAGAGAGAGACAGAGAGGACGGTTTGTTTTCCCTCGTCCAAGGTTTTCTGTCCCATGATGCAGCAGTGAATTTGGTCTCAGGGCCACAGTGACACATTTCAGCTCTGCTCATTCTGCTGCTGGCTGATGGAAATACAGCAACATTTTACAACGAAACACTCACGTACATCACCACTGCCTCAGTGCTGCCTGAGTCCTGCCCGGTAACAAATGTTAACACACACACACACCGCTCTATATGTGCTCTGTATTGCCCACTGAAACAGCACATTGAGATCAGTGCACATCCATTTCTGCAGACACCATGTGACATTAGCAGTCATCTATTCAGCAAAAATGGAGCTGCGCCAAAGGGTGTATTTCTGCTAATACCTGCCTGGAGATATCAGACACATCAGGCCTTGTTTTAATGGACGAGGATTTAAATCTGATGGATGTTCGGTGCTTCTGTCATAGCTGGTCTCATGCCCTCCAAACTCTGGTTCGACATTTTGGGGGGTGACCACAGGTGCGGCTCTTTTTCTCACCACAGTATCAATTTAAACAAAAACCTGTCTGCAGATGAAAATCAGGCAAATCAGGGCAAAGTTTCTTACCAGTGGAATGGTGAGTAAATACATATACTTATTACAGGCATTTTTGCTTGTTTGTCCTTGTTTTCTTGGTTAAATTGAGATTCATCATGACGTGAACTATATATTTTATCTTTATCTTCAGCAGGACTGTGTGCTTGCATGTGTTTGATTGGCTGACACGGCGGCTTGCCAGATGATGTCATGTTGCAATGCGGCATAATTTGAGCCATGTTGAACTTTTTTGCGTTTCTGCAATTTTTCCTGGAGCTCCCTGCGTTGTACGCAGCTGGACTGGCCTCCTAAACCCAGATTTAACAAACCCAGATTTAACAAACGTGCTATGTTTCACATTTTTCAAATCGCTACCTTCCATATCATTTGAATATGACAATAGTACGGTCATACGGTCTAAAAGGTCTGTTAGAGAGACAAGGAGTGTCTTGTGATGCAGGTGATACAATATTTTTCCATAAAAAGGAAAAGTAATTTGTAGCGAGAAGGTCAATGTTCTGTAATTGTGCCGTACTGAAAATGCTCTACAAAAACCGTTGAGAAAAATAAAGTAAGCGATAAAAAGAAAACAAGCAATGAAAGTTAAAAAAGTACATGAACAATAGATTTGGAAAAATATATATATTTGAGAGCCTAAAACAACACTATAAAACTGTGCAGTTTTGACCTTTAAAGACTGCTGTCTCTTGTCCATGAACCTCACAAGTCATGTACTGGTTTATTTGAAATTTTGGGCTTTTTTTCCCCGTAGTGTGTCTTCTTTCAGACTAGTGAAAAGTTTGCATTTATAATGCTTAATATGCATATCTAAACATACACTTTCAGATTTTTTTTACCTTATTTACTTCAGTAACATTTATAAACACCAAACTATCCAGTTTAATTCCTGTCTATATTCTGACGGTTTTTAACGGAGGAATTGGTTGAGCATTTTATTCCTAAAAACATGGCGAAATGGATTTCTTTATGGCCGTTGACAGTATTTTCTGATTTATGGAGTGATAAAAAGAGAAATCTAAAATTCCCTCCGTAAAAACCTTTGACTCTAAAATGTCAATAAAATAAAACAAGAATCTAATGTTCATATTTCTGTTCTGGAGAAATCCGAACATCAGCACTCAGAGAATGCCTGATTTGCATATTTAACATATATTTTCAGAAAATGTGTAATACAATAAATAATCTTAATGCAAGTAATCAACCGAAGTTTCATGGCGATATCTATGAGTTGTTGTTGTTTGTTTTTCCTTAACCCGGGGTGTCCTCCCTTAAGTTTTGCCCAAACCCCTACACTGTGTTGTAATGTCCTGTAAAGTGTTCTCAGAATAAATTTGTTGAAGGACTCCGATCGAATAGGAATTATGACCAAAACTCCAAAGACCCAAATTGTTACTGGGAAAGAAGTGAAAGTATAGCTTTACATTATGAATAAAAAACTTGTATTTTTTCAAGTGCACCGATTCCAACTGTTGGTTTGAGTGATAGTCTTTCCCGTTTCTTTTCCCATCAAAGATTAACTTTAACTAGCTCCTCCACTCCCCCCATGACTAGCTCCTCCACTCCCCCCATGACTAGCTCCTCCACTCCCCCCCATGACTAGCTTCTCCACTCTCAATTTCCATTCTTTGCTCCTCACAAATTGATTTTCTTCACAATTGCATGTTAATAAAGGAGCACGATCACCACTTGCTACTCACCTTACTTCACTCTGCAGTCCTCCCACTGCACCCTCTATCCTCCCACTTTATGTCTAATGCACTCGCTCAAAGTTAATTTCACAAGTGTCCTTTTTACTCGTTAACTGATTGCCTTGAAGTCTTGGAGGCTACATGTGCACACTGAGCATACCGCTCCATAATTTCTCTTTAGAAAATGGATCCATGCGGTTAGGGACCTTGAGAAGAAGCTGGTGGATGTCGAGAGTTATTTGATGTAAATGAACACCCAAAAAGGGTCGATAACCGGTAATCACTCAGCGAGCTCCTTGACTCCAAGTCCATAAGTCATCCTCAGCAGGACGTTTAATGTAAAGGCACGAAAATATGTACTTTAGTCCTCAATCAATACCGCCTAATGATCCGATGATCATTAAGAAAGTAAGAACACAAATAAATGATTAAGGCCTCAGCCTGAGGAGCTCATGCCAGATCAATGTTGCCATGACATTTATTTCACGTGTTAACCCTCTCCAGTGTTTCAGTCGATGTTAATGTGACATTTGTGGGAGGATCGGCGCCTCAGTCTCGCGGCCTCCTGGGAACGAGGCAGGAAAACCAGCTTCAGGGAACCAAAGCGAATGGATGAGTGGGGGGTGTTGAGAGAGTGTCACATGCAGGTGTCTCTTCGTCTCCACGTGAGGCACTCGGGAGCAGGTGGGAGGGTGTGTGTTTGTGTGTGTGTGCGTGCGTGCGTGTGTGGGAGATGGGGGGGAGTTGATGCCAAGAAATCCCCCCTATTATGATAAGATCTATATTTTCTTCAGCCAGATATTAAAAAGATAACAAAACATAAATCAATCAGAAGGTGAAATTGTATTTTCTCTCTCACGCCTCCTCTCCGTCTCTCTCTACCTGCTTAGCTCTACAATGTGTGTGCGTGCGTGCGAGTGTGTGTACATAATGTCCGTCTTAGACAGAAAGAAGCTTTTAAAAGTGTTTGTGCCATAGGAGTTATAATGTATGAAATCAAATATGTATTTTTTTTCTCAATCATGATGAATATAATTACATACAGCACAGTATTATAACGATATAACCATGAATGTACAACTGACGCTTCTGTCATTTTTGTTGGTATTTTTCTGATAGTGATTTTCTACACAATGACCATTTTTAAGTATTTTAACTTTCTCCATGGCAGTGTTTCAGGACTGTGTTTTATGATCGTACTGGAGTTCCTATAGGCTTGCTTAATTAATTAATTTCCTCCTAATGAATGTATTGACAGTATAAAGAGTATGTATTACAGTTTTGATTGAAGAAATAAAGAACAGTGTCTCTAATGATTGAGATATAGTGCCGCTGTTTATTGGTGTCTTTTTTTCTGCACCCCTCAAAAGTTGCTGAGACTTTCAAATACTGTAATTGCTAACCTGAGGAGTCTTTAGGTGAACATGCAAAAAAAGTGAAACTTTGGCTATGATGCGAGCATAAAATTCAAAGAGCTAAGTTTCCAATAATACATTGAGGATGAATCAATAGTTACTTGGGTTTCAATTTTCCATTTTACTATTTATTTCCAGGTAACTGCATCAGAAAGTATAACGGAAAATAAAAGTGTTACCCATTCCAACCACAGCTGAACTAAATATTCATGTGACCTAATGTCTTGGACAGAATTTCTGTCTTGCTTATTGACATTTTCAAAACTGAATCAAATCCAACTGTTTGTACAGCATTAAAATGATGTGAGCTACACACCAGGGTGTTTGCCTCCATCTGTGAGTTCTCTAACAGAAGATGAAAGTAGCTAGATGATCACTGAGAATCAACATGGGCAGGGCCACCTGACTTTTAAGCATGCTACAGTTCTACATCCACCAGTTTGCTGCAGTGTGTTCACAGTGTGCATTTGTTAGTGCGATATCAGTTTTGTTGTGACTCACTGTGCAATGCAGTGACAAACAGGGCTGTGTTGATCCACAGCACCAGCTCAATTGTAACAATCCAGGTGTTAATCAGAAGCTTACAGAGAAAGGAGGGATTCAGTGATGTGTGTGTGTGTGTGTGTGTGTGTGTGTGTGTGTGTGTGTGTGTGT